TTTTTTTTTTTTTTTTTTTTTTTTTTTTGTTTGCTCAAAATCTCCAGACAACCTGGTAAAAAATCACCCAGGCTTATTTGGGGCCAAAATGAGAAAATGCGAAATCTGAATTCAAGCATTTGGATAAAACTCGAGCCGGTCTCGCTTTCCTTCATGGGCAGGTGTTCCAAGAGATCCCGGGCTTATCCGGAACAAGCATCAAAGATCAGTTTCCTGCTAATGATGAGTTGTCCACTCATCCTCTTGTCAAATAATTTACAAGAGGTGTGCCTCAGACAGCAGGGGAAGGAGGGATGCCAATGGCCCAGCACCTCCTCACTGAGCTCTGGCCAAGCAGGAAGTTCTAAAGTATTTGAAAAGCCTGCATTAATAATACATCACAAAATGGTAGAAATAGAATTTATTTTTGGCCCAGCCATTGCAGCCACTCCCGCTACTACCGAGGAAGTTAATTCCAGAGCTCGCTGTGCAGCAGGCAGCAGCTTCAAGCTGCAGGAGTCTGAGCACGCTGGGCAGCTCAGGAGAGTAAGGATTAAATCTGTGTCACTGGAACACAGTGCTGGGCCAGTGCACTAGCCAAAGGTATCTGGGTAATGAATTACACTGCATTGAGYGGGGGCTTGTTATTCCTGAGCTAAACTTAAGTTTGAAATTCAGCCGATAAGTATGCCTAGACTGAGGGGACTATTTGGTGTGGACAATGTGCACAGGGACTTCTTTGGAGAGTATCTGCAGGGTTATGTGCACCCTTGTGTTGCAAATTATTGGCTTCAGAGAAATGGTTTCTTTGTTTCCACATCGGATGTACTGTCTTATGACCTCTTTTGCTTTCTTTATGTCAGTAAACACAATCATTAAGGCATCTCGCTGTTACTCTTTGCCTGCAGACATCTCCATGCCGCTGTCTCTTCTGAACAAAAGTGCAAGCTCCTCGCTGGCCTAATTCATGTTCTTCTTTCGGGGGTTGCAGGTTGCAGTCGGTGCTCCGAAACAGAATGGTGGTTTTCAGGAAGGTAAGTTTCAGCAAGGTGCTTTGCTGGGATTTAGTGACTAGCCTGAGGCCCAAAGAGAAGAAAAAGGATCCTAACGTGGTTCAGCTCATAAAGAAAAGCATCAGTAACCCAGCAGCAACACAGTACCAAATAAGATGCATCAAGTTGCAGAGATGTCATGCCTGGTTTGGGCCAGCCTTGCCCTGCTCACACTGGGCTGGTGACCTGAACCTCAAGGGCTGTCACTGAAGCCACAGGGATTGCCCATGGAGTCTGAGTGCAGAGCAGGGCTCTCTTTCTTCTTGAACCAGTTATACCCAAATAGCATATTTATTTTATACCCTAAATAGGACCTACACTTRCCAGATTTACATTATAATAAATAGCTAGCCATTATAATAACACTTTTTGTTTGAACTTGGATTAGTGCCTGAAGCAACAATGGGGAGCAGCCTTAGCTCACCCCTTCCCTCAGAGACAGAGCAGTTCTGCCTGCTTGTTTCTCTGTGGGCAAGATCTTGCCTGGCTTCTTTCTCAAGAGAGGAGTTGGCCTAAACAAGGAATGCAGGTTTTGCTTCCTCAGAGGGATCATGGAGGCTCTCATATTTCCCAGTGATTTGAGTGACAGCAGAGAGAATATCTATCTAAAACCACAGCAGTAGAACCCTCTACATTTCCAAAGATCTTGTCTATCCATCTTTTTTTAATCCCTGGTTATGTCTTTGTTTCCAGTATTCCATATGAATACTGTAGGTAATATGAGGCTGTCAGAGTGCTTTGTAAGCATTCAGTCTTCCCTCCTGCCGTCTCTAGGAGGCAGTGGAGCTGGGCAACCACTGTCCTTTGTGTCATTTCCTCTTGTAAAACAGCTGGGCTTGGTGACATGTCCAAAATCACGTACCAGGTTGGCTGTGGGCTAGAAATAAACCSCTGAGGTCCTGGTACACTAACCATTATATTGTACTGCTTTGAGCAGAGGAATTTGTCTAGTTAAAAACACTGCAGAAGAAGTCAAAGCAATAAAAAAATGAAACCAAGAGATGCATGGCTGTGAGCTACATTGAGTGTGTCACTGTTCTTGACAGTTTTTCTTCTCTCCAGGGTGATCATGTGTGGCTGGAAACCCAGTCAAGCAGCGAATTTAATGTTCCTATTGGGGCAGTTGTAAAGGACTCGGACTCAGGACGGATCTTGCTGGAGGATGATGAAGGCAAGGTGAGCTATGCCTGAATTTCTGTAAAGGAAGATTGTAATATTTAAAAGTTTTGTCACAAAAGAAGGACCACACTGTATCAGAGGCAAGCTCCAACTAGCCAAATTATCATCTCTTATGGGCAGCAGAACTTCTRTTAATTCCTGCAGCTCGGCCAACTGTGACTTATGGGACATGCTGCATGGATTACAGTCAAGTTCGTTACAGTCTAACCTGCCTTTCTGCTTTGCTTGCATCGGAGCCACGATAAACCTCCTCAGCACCGCTGCCTTGCCTCTTGCAGGAGCACTGGATCACAGCGCGGAACATGCACATGGTGCGCCCGATGCACCCCTCCTCTGTCCAGGGCGTGGAGGACATGATCCGCCTCGGGGACCTCCATGAGGCAGGCATGGTGCACAACCTCCTCATCCGCCACCAGGAGCACAAAATCTACGTGAGTACCAGGTCCAGCACTGCCAGAAATGACCCGCTGGGTGCCCTGAACAGCAGCCTACAATCTCCCTTCATACACGGTGACATCTGCTTCCTTTCCTGACTGACTGACCGAGGATGCTAATGAGACTCAACACGGTTTTTGTCTTTGTTCATYGTAGGACTTCTTCTCTGCAGAGAAGAGAGATGACAGTGGCCTCTGAGAGCACTGACATGCACAGGGAGTGATCCCACTTACTTTCTCCTAGAGTGATTATTCCCACTGGTGGCTGCCAGTTAGCTAGATACACAGTCCATGTTACAGCTTCCTGCTAGAGGGGACATGTTCGTGTTACTTGTAGCTGTTATATGTTATTTGCCTAAATAGCAGACAGTGACATGATTTGGATTGTCATCCATTCAAAGCCAGTGTTTGCTTGATTTGATCAAGAAAAAAGCTGAAAATTTAAAAAAGCAGCTTGTCATAATGCTGCACAACAGCACAGGATAATGACAAACTGACCTTTTGCACGTTTTAGATTGAGACAGTGAGAGGAATTTTGATTTTGCCAGGTGGTTATGGTTAGTGTTTTTCCTTTTGCAAAAACTCCACGTCCTGACACACTTAGTAACAATTCCTAGTGAGGACCCCAGCTCTTAGCCTTGCCTAACTGCTGCTGTGGATCTCCCAGATTTCCATCCTGCGATGTCCTTGCTTGTATTTTGTTTGCCAGAGGTAACTCTCATACCTGCTTTCTAGACTTACACAGGGTCCATCTTGGTGGCAGTGAATCCGTACCAGCTGCTGCCCCTCTACACAGTCGATCAGATCCAGCTGTACTGCAACAAGAGGATTGGAGAGCTGCCACCTCATGTCTTCGCCATTGCAGACAACTGCTATTTCAACATGAAGAGGAATAAGAGAGACCAGTGCTGTGTGATCAGGTGACTGGCCTCACAGGAGATAAGTAGCAGAAACCAGCAGGTCTGGCATGTTTTGGGGGCACTTCTGTGGACAAAGGAGACCTTGCAAAGGAGAGTGCACAGATAAGATTAGAGATAACACGGAGGAAATATTTTCTTCCTGCTACTTCATTTTCTGTTAAGGTTACAAAAAGCAGAATAGAAGCAAGGGATTTCCAAAGTCCATCGTTTGCCCCCAGACATTTTGAACATTCTGCACAAAGACACTTCATTTAGAAAATAGAATATGAACCTGAGTGATGTAGGACAACTTTTTAGAGCATGGTACTTGTATTTCATACATTTCCTGGAAACGAGACCACCTGGAGAAACATAGCTTTTGCTCATCTGAAGATGACAGAGACTTTCTTTATCCTATATAAAAAATTACCATGTATCCATTTTGTGTTAATCATCAGTGTGAAGAATCAGATTATTTCATTGCAATAATATCTAATATAGATGAGGCAACTCAGAAGTAGTGAAAATATGGTAATGCATTAAATAAAAAATGCATGTGGTCATTTAATTTGCAGAACATCACAGGAAATTGTCCGTGGGTTTGCTCATTTCTAATCAGTGGGAGAATTTATTTCTCAATATAAGTCTAATCTAAAAAGATCTAAAAAAATACTTCCCTTTTAGTACATAAGATAGTGAAAGGCTAAAATTCTCTAGTCCTTCATGAAAGATAGTCTATTCACAGGGTAAATATAAGTGGTATGTTTTTACTCTTACCAAAAAGAAGAAAGAAAGACTGTAATGTATCTTGCTTCTTACTGCAGTGGAGAATCTGGAGCTGGGAAAACTGAAAGCACCAAATTAATACTACAGTTTTTGGCAGCTATCAGTGGCCAGCATTCCTGGATAGAGCAACAAATCCTAGAGGCCAACCCCATTCTGGAAGGTGAGTTATTTAGCAAAAATACCTAACTTACCTCTTTCATTTCCAGACCTCTGTATCAGGATAAAAACTCAGCAACAGGCTCTAGATGCACTTTATTTGCTAACATCTCTGAAGCATCAGCAGTGGAGGGCAGGAGTTCTTCAGACTTTTCTACCACATCCCCACAAGTTTACAGCAGTGTATAAGCCAGAACTGCAGGAGCACAGGAGCCTTTTGGAACCCCCCTGTGACTGGCATTTGCATCAGCCTGTGACAAAGTAACTGTCCAAGCAAGGCCATAATTGTAGGGAAGCTCCCTGACACATCCCCCTTTTTCTGTAGAAGATCAAGTGGGCTCCTACCAAGTCCTTATGAAGGTCCTCAGAGTGGCCTGCTTGTCTTGGCTGGGCTACATATAGGGTATATTTGGGCTGTCTGTTCAGTTATAGTATGTATAGTATGCCTGTCCTGTCTTCAGGATGTATGTCTGGATCTATAGTATGCCTGTCCTGTCTTCAGGAGGCAGCCTGAGACCAGATATTCTCAGTGCACTGTTATTTGGAGCACAACATGTAAAATATCAGCAGGAAAAAAACCCTCTTGATGTTCATTAACTACAATAATCTTTCCCATCAGCTTTTGGAAATGCCAAGACGATTCGGAATGACAATTCAAGCCGCTTTGGGAAATACATTGATATCCACTTCAACCAAAATGGTGTGATAGAAGGAGCCCGAATAGAACAGTTTCTTCTGGAGAAGTCCCGGGTTTGCCGGCAGGTAAAGGCACCTGCAGAGGCCCCTCCTGCCTGCTCCTGTATCGGGAACCTGTGTCCACGAGTCTGTCCATTGGCCTCTTTCTTTCTAGGCTCGAGAGGAGAGGAACTATCATATCTTCTACTGCATGCTCATGGGCATGAATGTGGAGCAGAAAAAGATGTTGAATCTGGGCACTGCTTCAGAGTACACCTATCTCACTATGGTAAAACGCTGCCTTCTTCTTCATTACTCATCTGCCATTTGCTTCTCCCAGCAAGGAAATCCAATGAATAGAGCTACAGATGGGTAGCTGCCAAAAATTAATTGTTCCTTTGCTAAGGCACTGGAAGCAGCAACACCAGAAGTGGTGTGAACCTCAGTTTCAGAGACTTGTGCAGCTACCAGTAGCAGCTTGTGGCAGTTCAAAGCTTTCTATCAAAGTCAGCCTAAAGAAAGATCAAGGGCATCTTGAAGCAAGTGGCAAATATTTTTGATGAATTCAAGGGATCTCACACCAGGGAGAGTAAGCAAATGAGCAAGGAAATGCAAAGTGTTCATAGCAGAAACAGTGAAAATAATTTTAGTACTTATAGCTGATAACTTTTATATACATAATGCAGGAAGGTGGTATTTACTCTTCAGCATCTGATGTAAATGTCCCGGTCTGGGTTTATGTTGCCGCGGTGGCAGGAGCAGGATATAAGTGARATTTTTATTCAGATCAGCAGTTAGCAAAAGTAGCTGTTCTCCATGCTGTGAACAGAAACATCTAGGAATGCTTCACTTCTGTAATCACCACAACCTGTCGCTGCTGATAACAGGAGTAGAAAAGACTTTTCCTCAGCTCCACTGAGGTTGAAAATAGTTTATCTGAGGAGCAGCATCTGCCGTGCAGGCCTTGCTGAAGTTTTTCCTGATTCTGCCTTTGGATTCTTCTGTCTCTCTTGCACTCAGTGTTAGCATTGCCTTTTCTGGGTTGCTTTTTACCATCCACCGCACAGGGCGAGTGCACATCCTGCGAGGGCAGGAACGACGCCAAGGAGTACGCGCACATCCGCTCCGCTATGAAGATCCTCATGTTCTCCGACTCRGAGCACTGGGACATCAGCAAGCTGCTGGCTGCTATTCTGCACCTGGGCAATGTGGAGTTTGAAGGTAGACTTGGCATCCTCTGTGCTTGGCTTTTCCTCGGTCTTGATGCTAAAAGCATCGAGGTGCTGCCTGCTTCCTTTGTACAGCCRGGCTGTGCTTTCTGGCCCGTGTAAATGGGTGGGCGAGCAAAGTGGAAAGAGCAGGCAGATAAACACCATGTAGTTCTGATTGATTGGTAACTCCTCTGGCTGCTGTTCTGAAAGACATCACCTAATTATTTTATCTTGCTGCCAGGTTTCCATGGTTATAAATAGGCCCTTATTACACAAACTGAAGCACTGGATACTGTAATGCCGTGCTAATGTTTGTTGATGGTAGCTGCAGGAGAGAGGAGCAGATGAGTCACGCGTGCGGTGGAGATAAGAGCGGCCCTTCTCCTGGTTGGGTTTGGTCAACACTCACCAAGCACAAAGGTGCTCCTGCTACAGCACCAACACAGTCCAATTCACCCACCAGCAGCTCTGGCATTTTAGGAAGGGGCCTTTTTTCTCCCTTTGTGATATAGGGGATCCAATACAATGATGACAGTTGGGTTCTGTAAAGGTGGCTGCTAAAATGTGGGATTTCCTTTATGCAGGAAAGAATTTTCATGCTTTCATTTTCTAAAATGTCAGTAAGACAGATTCTAGGAAAAACTCCTTTTCAGAAACACATTTTCTGAAGTCAGCTACTACCTTCCCAGACCCCCAGTAGCTTCAGTTTCTAAGTAACATGCTTGTGAATTTTGCTGCTTCCAGAGTTGCCCCATTTCTGAGGCCAGGGTAAGAAGCCTGAATGAAATTAGAACCCTCCTTAGTAAAATTCTCATACTTGGGAGTTGTGTTAGGAAACTTCTGACTCACCACATTTACAGAGGTAGAGGGTTAGAGAAATACAGCTGCAGTGACRGCATAGCAGAAGTGATTCACCCTGAGATTGGCTGTTTCCTCGTTCTAGCGGCAGTGTACGATAACTTGGACTGCTCCGATGTCATGGACTCGCCACACTTTTCGATCGCAACCAAACTGCTTGAGGTAACAGCCTCTCATCTTTCTCAGTTCTCTCCTTTGCCCTCGCTCCCTGATTGCTTTGACAAGAATGTCTCTGGGGAGCATTTGGTTCTGTATGGATGYACGTGGAAAGGGCACGTCCCCTTCCTCCTGATGATTCTCAAGTATATCAAGTGTTGCACAAGTCTCTCTGAGCAAGGAAATCTGTCTGGGAGAAGAGGCCTCACTTGAATCCCGCTGGACAGGCCGCTTGTGTCCCCTGTTTGCAGAGCCCTGTTCCTGAGACAGGCTTTATTGCTGACTCTCCTGTATCCATCACGCTTAGAATGACCAGGATGCCATGACTCTTCCTGCAGGTAGACTCCAGGGAACTCCAGAACAGCCTCACAAACCACTCCATCATTATCCGAGGAGAGAGTGTGTCCAGGCCTCTGAGCATAGTTCAAGCTGCGGATGGAAGGGACGCCTTTGTTAAGGTACTGGTGCTAACATCTCCTCTGTTTAAAATTAGGTTATGTTAGATGTCAGAGAGATGTCAGAGCCATCTCTCTCCATGGTTCAAGCCCCTGATGTGGCAAACATCATGGGAGTTTTCAGGCATAGTTTGACTCCACTGTGGCAGTACAATAACAAGTAGTCAGATATGCCCAAGACTGTAGTGATGGGCTCTCACTTCCTCTTCATTTCTCCGCAGGGTATATATGGAAGGATTTTCCTGTGGATAGTGAACAAGATCAACTCAGCTATTTTCAACCCAGCTTCTCAGAACCCTAAAAAAACACGATACTCCATTGGGCTGTTGGACATTTTTGGGTTTGAAAACTTTGACAACAACAGGTAGGAGGTTCCAGACTCATTTCTGCTGAGGAACTGAAAAGCAGCTGATAACAAAGGAAACGAATGAAGGAACAAATAGAAGAGTGTTCTTTCATTATCATCCTGATTCTCAGAGAAGTGGTGAAATTTTCATTCCTGAGATTTCTGTGACAATCTTGCATGGATGCATGCTCATACTTCCCACTTCTCTGCCGGTCTTCATTATGCAGCCATTGCACAGGTCAAAGTAATGGCCGTGCAGCTGCAGAAGGGAGGCAGCCCTTATGTGAGCAGATACTACATGTTCCCATATCCCTGTGCCTAACTTCCCTGTTCCACGACATTTTTACCAGGTTTCCCGTTACATGCTTTGTACACAGCACAAGGGAGGCTGTGCTGTGCCTCCTGTTTCAGCTCATATTTCCATCTTGCCCTGTGTTCCCCTGCCCCTTTCCCTGCACTGCTTCATTTCCCTAGTGTTAAGGACAAGCTTTCAAAGCACGGGGCTGCCTCTCCACTGACCCACTGCTACCTCTGCCACTGCTGCCTTCTGTTCCAAGGCATCCTTTCTGTTTGCCCTTCTCCACTGGAGCAGCATTTTTTTTTTCAATGGACTGCAGCTGGGCATGCTAATGTTAGTGGAATATAAGATAAACAACTCTGCCAAATAAAGTTATTATTATTGCTTTTGCTGTTTCCCTCCACCTTTGTCATCTGTCCTTGACATGCAACCTAAAATGTTCCGCTTTTTTCATTCTCTTTTCTATTCTTCATTGAGATCTTTTTCCAGTCCATTTCAGCCTGTGCTATCAGCAAGATAATATCCCCCCCTGAGTTTTGGAACCATTCAAACCCATCTCCTAGCTGTCCTGTCCTTTTCTCTTACTTGGTATTGTTCCCAGAGGCTGCGGCCCAAGTGAAGCCTCACTGTGGCAAGCACAGCACAGGCACACACAGCATGCCCCCCGTTACCTAGTAATTAAGCTCAGGGGCAGCATCCAGGACTAACTGCCAAACGAAGCCCTAGTTCCTGTGCAGGTAAGAATGGGTCACACGATCATATTGTCATTTATAGCAGTTTCACATTCAGATATCCCCCATTATCTCTAGAGTTTCTTGAAACATAGATGGCATTTTTCACTGCTTACCCAGCAACGCTCTGTCCTCATCTGGCTTGTTCCTGCTCACRATGATCACAGCAAAGACCAGTTGTGTTCCTTATGTAGATAGGGTTGACAACATGCAGTGGTGGTATCACTGTAGAATATAGGAGCAGTAGATCTGTGTATGCATTTAGTACAGAGATCAAACAAATMCCCTAGAGCAGTGCAGGACTTGCCAAAGCACAGATGACCATGTGTCCCCGTGTTGTCTGCCTGCAGCTTCGAGCAGCTCTGCATTAACATTGCCAATGAACACCTCCAGCAGTTCTTCGTCCGCCACGTCTTCAAGCTGGAGCAAGAGGAGTACCTTGCGGAGCACATTTCCTGGAATAACATTGATTTCACCGATAACCACCAAGCTCTGGAAATCATTGCGCTCAAGCCCATGAACATCATCTCCCTCATTGATGAAGAGAGCAAGTTCCCAAAGGTGAGTGCTTGACTTTACACACAGAAGGGCCCGTGCAAAGGAGGCTTTCTGAGAGCCCGTGTCTTCTCCCCACAGCTGTCCCTCTTAAATTAACTCACTAGGTGAGTTAACTCTCTAGGTGCTTCGTTCTTTGTCAGCATGTGCTGTTTCTGGTACCTGGCTGTCAAAACTCTTTTGTTGTTCCAGACAGAGAGAATTGTGATCATTTATAGTGGCTCTTCAGGAAATATTTGGATGCACATGTTGTCTGGGTATTGTTCTGTGGACTGTAGCTTTCTCTTTCCCTGGATGACAAACTTGATTATTGTGAGCACTGTGAAGAAATGCTATTCTGCAAAGGCCAGTTATCTTAAACAGGACACCAAAAGTTCTTAACATACCTGGTGATGTTAGTAATATTATGGAGGTTTGTCTTTGAACACCACTTCCATTTGTTAACAGAGCTGGGACCAGTGCTGCCAGGGGGAATCTATTTTATTGTCCTTTTCTGCCTGTGTTTATTCCTAGGGCACAGATGCCACCATGCTCGTCAAAATCAATTCCCTGCATGGCAAAAGCAACGTATACATCCCACCTAAGAGCGTCCATGACACCAAGTTTGGCATCAACCACTTTGCCGGGGTTGTCTTTTATCAATCAAAAGGTGAACCTGTTTCTCCTGGATAGGAGGGTGGAGATAAGGGCACGGCGTGCTGTGGGTGTGCGACACTGGGCAGTGTTGAGCTCTGGTCTCTCACTGTGACTCTACCTTACCTCYGGATTTGCTTTTCTGAAGTCAGGAGGATTACTTTAAACTAATCTGAAAGTTACTGTAAATGAGATGGATTTCAGAAAAACAAAGTTGTCCCAAAGCCAGCCAGCTACAGGGATAACAAGCCAATTTTGTTTCCGTCTTACAGATTTCCTGGAGAAAAATCGAGACACGTTGAGTGCTAATGTAATGCAGGTGGTCCATTCCTCCAAAAACAAATTCCTGAGGCAGATTTTCCAGGTGGAAACAACTCCACCTAGTCTTGGCCGTGGGACCATTCGGCATCTTGGAGGTGACCAGTCCTACAAGGTTGGTTTATTGGCAATAGGTTGCAAAGACAACCGATCTCTCATCCCTTCCGTGCGACTCTGTCTGCTCTTGGCYTCTTTGTTTCGCGCTGTCTCTGCAAATCTCTCTCTGTTTCATTCAGCTCATTTCTGCAAGGGAGTCTCCAAGAGCAGCCAGGGTCTGTCATTCACGCTGTAGACAAGCGCAGTGTCAGCCGGTCCCCTGGGTCACAGCTGGAAGAGGCTGTGTCCCTGGACCTGTGTGTGGCCGTGCCGGGCAAACGTGCATTGTGCTGCCTCCCCACACAYTGCTGGCACATGGGTGGGCTTTGTGGGTGTCCTCTGGGGCACCCAGRGTGTCCACCCTCTGTGCCACGCAGCTGGGAGGGAGGAGAGCGGGACTGCCCCGGTCCTGCTGCCCCACAGCGTGCGCAGTGCGGGCTCAGGCTCCAGCACCGGGCGGGCTGCGCGGCCGCTTCCCGACTCCTGGCCTGGCTCCTGGCGCACAGGGGACTGGCTGGCACGCACACCAACCAGCTGCACGGGCACAGGGAGCTGCGTGGCCGCCTGCACCCAGGAGGGACTCCCGGAGACAGTCTCTGTGCCCTGGGGGCCTCGTGCTGCACCCAGTGAAGAGACTGCAAAGTGCAGCGTGCTGGCAGGAGYGAGGGCAGGGTTCAAGCTGCTCTGCTGCAGCTTGCACCTATCTTGATTTCTGACCCTTTAACCATGCAGTGTCAGTACTGCATGAAGTTATCTTTGCTTTTAATGCATATATCTCTGTGTTTACCTCTCAAAGCATAGGGCAAATAGTCCATTTGCTATAATATCTTGTTTTTGCCTACTCTCCTGGCTCTATTTTCTGATCCTGTTCTGTCTTCTTCAGTCTTTAACCCAGTGTGGCTTTCTGCTGTCTAGAACATCTGGCCATGGACAGGTAAATAACCTGGGGKAGAAGAAAGTCAAAAAAGAACAAGTAGCAAAAGAGAATGAACTTAGCATCTCTAAATGCTATGAATACCTTGAGATTAAATTTCAGGTCTCTCTATGTTGCTGTGATACTTTAATGGCTTTTGCCTCTTTAAAGAAGATTGTGTTACTGGAAAAAAAATCTTTCCTTAGGAAGACATGTAGAAAATACAGTAGCATGTCAAGAAAGGAATTATTAAATGGGGGCTGCTACCTGTTTCAAAATGCAGATGCAGCAGCTGAAGGCCCTTAATAATTTCAAATAGGTTTGGCCCTCTTTGGGAAATCTGTTACTATTTTGATAGTCCATTGCTAGACTATTTGCTATTTTGAGGCCTCACAATTGCTCTCCTCAGTCACCGGCCAGAGGAGACAATTCCCCACCACCCAGGCAGCAATTTAGTTTGAACACTGGCTCATCTGGAGGTGCTCTGTGAGAGCACGAGGGCATGGGCTGCAGCCCTGGGCATCCCACTGACCCACGGTAYGGCAGAAGGGCCCCTGAGATCTGGGAGTGCCACCTGCTTTAACAGCAGGTTACAGCTTAACTTTACAGCTTGAGTATGTATTTGACTTTAAAACTACCTCAAACAAATGCTTGGCAGACCTGGGATACATTAGAGACACTCTCAGGGACGGATTTCCAGTGGCAYGAGTGTTTTGTCACTGGAGGGCAGCATTGCTCTGTAGCTAAAGCAGAAGGTGGCAACTGGAGTGTTAAAATGGCACGTTAAAGCTAAGAACCAGCCAAGGGAGGCACTGGGAGGACTATGACAGAGGGCAGCCACTGACTTTAAATGATTTCCTTATTTCAACCACAAAARAGAGGAGGGGAGGGAGGGCCCTTTATACTCACCTGTGTAGTGCTGCACTTGTTACCTTGAGGCTTGTAAATAGCCGTATGATAAACACCGGGGGAGTCCTTACCTGTTGCTAAGAACATGCCCTGTTGTCACCGTAATKTCGTGTGACACTAAAAGCATACCGCGAGGCAGGACTGAAGGCTCCCGCGGTGCCGGACGCGGAAGGGACAGAGGCGGAGGCCTTCAGGGAAGCTGCAGGAGGGCGGCGGGAAGGGCAGCAGCTGCCGCCCCGCTGGGGCTCCCCGCGCCGCTGCAGCGAGGAGCAGGCCTCAGCACGGCGTCCGTGAGGCAGCGCACGGCATCCGCGGCCGCACGCGGAGGCGTTCCCCRCTGATCCTCCTCCTGAAACTGCCTTTTCAGTTCCTGGTGCTCTGGTAATGGGCGAGGAGCCCAGTCACCTCACCGTGAAGGACTGAGCTCTCTGGATCCTTAGCAGCTCCAGTTACTCATGAGCCACAACCAAACTGTCYGGCCTGGAGGTTCTTGCTGCCCTAGGAGCAGTTGCTTCTCATCAAGCCTGCAGGCCATGAACAGCAGCTTGGCACCCAGACCCTGCAGGGAGCACAGCCCTGGTTGGAAGAGACAAAGCTCTGTGGGTGAAGCCCCGGGTGAATTTTCTTTCCTCACATTTCCCTCCTACCACTAGAACTTAGTGTTCCGGGTAGGTCAAGGAGCTCGTTAGGTTATTCACAAGAATAATCCCAAATTTATAAGATACAGATGGAAGATTTCGGTCCCATGCACGGGACTAACTTTTTCTGACATGGTACAAAAGTACAAAAATGTATTAATTTGCCCCAACAGTGAAGGATGTAGCAGTCAGCACCTGCTTTTTCTTCCCAGGGCTCGGATACCACCAAGCGACTCTCTACGCTGGGGGGACAGTTCAAGCAATCCTTGGAGAAGCTCATGAAAATCCTTGCTCAGTGTCAGCCATACTTTATCCGCTGCATCAAACCAAATGACTTCAAGAAACCTCTGGTAATGTTTAACAGCACAAGGCCTTGTCTCAGTAAACTTCATAAGGAGAAAGAGCTGTGGAGTAGGAGCTGTTACTGCCATAGAAAGGACAGTAGGATTCAGCAATGTTAATTTATAAAAGCATCTCTAAAAGCATCATGAAGTGATAGACAGTAAGAAAAAGCACATAGGTCTATTCCCAAAAGAGTTGTAAAAGCCACCCCTGTTCTGAAAAAAAAAAAAAAAAAGAAAAAAAGAGAAAATTTTCTAGGCTCCTCTGAAGGAGACAAAGGGAAATAAAAGTGATGATCCCAAACTGACCGTATGATGCAGCAGTCTGACAGAGGAGTGCTGCTGGTGTTTGGCAGAGGAGGGATGCAGCACTACAGGAGAGGAGCAGGCTCCTCAGCAAGGGGCTTGGCCAGAACTCAGGAGATCCTGACCTAGTTCTGCACAAAGTCCTCAAATGGTGCTGGTCAAGAGAGTTCATCTGTCCCAAAGTAATGCAAAAGGTTTTATGAGTCTATTTTTACTCTGCATTACAAGAGAGGAGCAGCCCTCMTGCTGTGCTTTCCATGACTGTGCCCAAAGGGCATCAGTTGCTACTGTTACTTGCACTTGCAAAATGTGCAATATGAGCAATTCATCTGAAACTGCAGCTAGAGAATTGGAAACAGTTGTTAAAGCAGACCAAACTTAATGGATTGTTTCCACTGCTTATCAATTTTGTGATAAACGGAAGTCTGAAGACCCTTTAAAATGACTTGTTTATGGCTGTAGTTAATTAATTTAGGCTACTAAAATAAGAAGTGCAACCAAGGAAAGAATATGGTGCCATTCTGCAGTTGGTCTAAGGCCAGAGGTTAATAGAGGTGCTTCGAGGGATGCTGCAGCTTCCTTCTGCACTAAGGCCGCTCCTTGTCCGCCTTCCCCTCCAGTTATTCGACCGAGAGCTGTGTATCCAGCAGCTGCGCTACTCGGGCATGATGGAGACCATTCGCATCAGGAAGGCTGGCTACCCAGTTCGCTACAGCTTTGAGGAGTTCTTTGAGAGATATAGAGTYCTCCTGCCAGGCTCTGCTCGAGAACAGGTTGGTGATTTAAGGCTAGTTGAACGTCTCCTTATCGGGCTTTAGTCTTAKCCAGAACAGAAATCCACTCTTGGATTGCGACTGGCATAGAGCTGTCATCCCAGGAACTGCAGTTAAATAGTTAAATCCTCACTTGGATGTTAGTGAGAACAGCAGAGGTGCTTACAGGTCTGGTAAAACTGGACTTCACCTCACACCTCAGCCATTTCTGTTTGCCCTTTGAAATGCCAGGCAATAGATCTTTACCTAGTATAGCTGTCGTGTTTCCAAACAAGCCCTAATGTGATGGTGATTTTGCACAGCAGCTGAGGAATGATGCTCGCAAGTGCTGCATCAGCATCTCCGAAGCGGTGCTGGGCAAGGATGAAGGCTGGCAAGTTGGAAAAACCAAGATTTTCCTTAAAGTAAGTAAGAAAGACAGTTTGTAACCTCTTCTCCTGAAAAATAAAATGGGTGCTTCAGAGTAAAGCTTGACGGACTGTAAAAGATTGGTGACCCAGAAGGACGAGATTCTGGGGCACCAGATTCTGGGCCTCTTTCAGAACATACGTCCATTTTTCAGAACTTGTGAAGGTTTCTGTTCTATTAACATATTTTCCTTTAACAGGATTATCATGACACGGTACTAGAGCTGCAACGACACAAGGTACTCACAGATAAGGTGCTTCTTATCCAGAAGGTGATGAGAGGAGTCAAGGACAGGTCAGTGACATTAAAGAAAAGAATTTGCTTCAGTGCTTTAACATGAACAAAGCATTTTCACATATAAAGTGTATCACTCCTTGCCTTTCATTAGCTCTGAATTCGCTTCTCGTCATGTTAGAACACACAGTGTATCTAGGCAGATTTTGCACACAAAAAAAAAAGCAACCACTTCTATTCTTTCTCAGTTTATCATAAGAAGCAGCAGCAATAACCTACTGCCTGTCCCCTCACCTGTCTGTCTGCCTAGGAAGCTGTTTCTGAAGCAGAGGAAGTCTGCTATCGCTATTCAGACAGCCTGGCGAGGCTACTGCTGCCGGAAGGACTTCCGAATGGTGAGAGACAAGTAAATGTGTATTTATATACTGTGCTTTACAGCATTGAGCGGAGAATTAGGAACTAAGACACTCAAAACTGAAGGGGAGAGAGGCAAAAAGGCAGGGTGTAAAAAAGGAATTGGTTAGGTCTGAAGAGGGTCCTGAGACACCTCATGGCTCAGTGAAGCTGCCCCTGCTCAATGGTGAACCAGTAACTCACCCAAGCTGTAGCGGGGCTGGCTCCGGTGCCCGGGCACACGAGTCCAGGCAGACGTGCAGGGCGGGCGTCTGTCCGTCCCCGCATGTGGTGAGCGCAGCACGTGCCACCACTGGGGCAGGAAACCTGGAACTCAGCAAAAAGTCATCAGCTCCTGTCGCATGATGGAAAAGAAGGATTGAACTGCTGGAGCTGGGGGCTCTTGAGGGTAAGGAAAGCTACGCTGTGTTTGGGGCTTTCACATACTGTGTGTTTGTGTGGGASAGATTACTATTACAATATAACATCCCATTCTGTGGGGTTCTATAGGGAGGAAAAAATGGCATTTTCTGTTTTCCACAAGTGACACAATTCCTGCCTGAAGAGCCTGTCTTGCCCTGTGCTCTGGCCCATTCCCTTCTGTTGCTTCTCTTGGCCTTGTCACACCCATTTCTCTCAAGGCCATGCCATTTTTTCGAGTCGCTTGGCTTCATTTCTGTTTTCTCCCTTTCCTTGCCGTAATCCCAGACTGTCTCTGTTGCTTCTTGCCACCACTTCCTCGAATGTCCTCAAGACAAACCTATATAAACTATTTTTAAAGCCATTCATGGCAGAAAAATAAAGGATTTTCTTAGGTAGCAGTGTCTCATAACCCCTTCCAGTATAGCTATCAAATAACTGAATTTTGCTGTCATCTACTTTGCCCAGGCTAGCCCGAATCTTGGAGGCTTTGAGCCATAACCTCTTCTCTTGCTCCACCTGCTGCAGATTCTGCTGGGCTTTGGGCGCCTGCAGGCCCTCGTCCGGAGCCGGCAGCTTGCCAAGGAGTAYGAGGCAGCCCGGGCTGCAGTCATCAGGTTGCAGGCCTTGTGCCGGGGATACCTGATGCGTAAGAAGATCACAGAGCAGCAGAAGGCTGCTCGTGTTATACAGGCATATGCGAGGGGCATGTTTGCTCGCCAGACTTACCAGAGGATGAAGAGAGAGGTACGTGTATCCCTTCAGATGCCTTGTGAACACCAGGTTGCTTTCATGAGGTTCTAATAGATATTTAACAACCCACAAATGTTGCCACAGCACTTTTGTTGTTGCTGTTCTTGTTGCAGACTTGGGCGGTTAGCAGGCTGACAGATAGGAGCTYGGTGAGACAGGAAGCAGAGGCTAAAGGGGCTGATGCTACTAACGCTTGCTGTCTGTGCTCATCACAGAGTTAGTCTCACCAGAGCCAGACTGACCAAGCAGAAATATTCGTGACAGAAGGAAGGATAAAAGATAAGGAGATTTTCAGATGTTCCAGTTGCTGCTGCAAAGGAAGGTCACTTTCTGTATTGGGGCCTGATAATGTCTCTTAGGGATCCACTCATGAGGGAAAGCCAGTCTTGTGTATCTTTGTATGCACTGCCAGAAAAATCCTGTATTTATCACCTTGGCTGTCTGTAGCATATAGGAGCCCTTCTTGTGGTTTCCTCCCTGCATTAAATGCTGTACAAACAGGACACAGCTATCTGCCTGTGGGCCATTCCTAAAATGCCAAAGCTAGAACCAGCCAGAACCACAGCCCCTGCTGTGGATCAGGTCCTGGTGTAGACAGCTGATCAACAGCAGAAGGGAGCCAGCCCAGAGGTACAGAAACAGTCACAGGTTGGTCCTTTGTCCGCAGTACAAGGGCAAGCTGGAAGCCAGGAATATCCGCTTGGAAGAGGAGAAACGTCTTATCCAAGTCCTTGGACCACTGAAAGCAAGAGAAGAAGCTATGAGGTTAGAAAAGGTAGGTATGTGCATCGAGGAACATGAAATGCTGTGTTGCRGTCCCAACCGGACAGTTTGCCCACGTCATGCTATAGACTTGCTCCAAGATCTGTGGTGTGTGTCAGAGGACAAGAAAAATCAGACATAGTTATAAGCACACTTGCCAGGATGATTCAGAAATGGGCCAAGACAAACACATGCACATCTAGAGTATGAGGGGCACTTTAGACAAACATGCACATGCTGTTATGATCTCCTGACACAACATATACATTTTAAATCTTTTTTTTAAAGATAATTAGAAATGTTGTGTTTTTCCTGTAGTATTGTTTGATGATACAGTTCTTGAAAATTGCATTATTACTTACAGCACATGAAGACAGCTGTGAGTGCAAGCTGCTGATGTGTTGGAACCTGGTGACTGCTTAACACAAGCAACACTTGGTTTCCCATCAGGTGCTGCACTGGCACAGCTACATCTCATCGACATAATACCTTTGTAGCCACCTTTCATCCTCATACCCAGTCATTCTAGCTGAAGGAAGTTCCAGCCATGCTTAACCAACTTGTATGTTTAAAGGAACACCTGGCTGCTCTGGAGAGAGAGGCAAATGAAGAAAGACAACGGAGGAATAATGCTCTTGCCAACAGGCCAACGAGTGGTGATGTTATCAGTGACCAAGAAATGGTGGACAAAATTTTTGGATTTTTACCTTCCATGATTGGAGGCCAAGAAGGACAGGCTCCTCTGGGCTTTGAGGTACTGAGCTGCAAAGTGGTCATGGGTCACGTTCATCCCTCATACGAGTCCACTGAGTCAATTCTGTTCAGTGACTTTCTGTCCTGTGAATGCACTGAGCAAGAACTGCCCAACTAAGTCACCCAGACAGTCTCCTGTGGAACTGCATTCGGAGGTCAGCTCCCAACAGCTTTTGTTCAACTGCAGTTTAGGGACCGCACGTCTTCAAAATCACTTCACTTTGTTCACTTTGTTCAGTCTCCCCAGCAGACCCTCTGAACTGTGCCAGTCTCCCTTGTAGCACCAACTCCACCTTCTGCTGCTAGGGCTTTCTTGGTGCTTTCCAGCTTACACATGTCTGTGCAGCTCCATGTCCTTAAAACCAAGATTTTAGATGTACTTGTCCTGACAGCTGCGGAGGGTGGAATGGGGCAGGGGGCACAGTAGAGCAGTCTAGATTAATGCCGACTGGGAGCAGTGAGGTAGCACTGGTGTTTTCCAACCCACAACGTTCTTGGCCAGCTGAAGGCCAGCCCAGGGAGGCTGCATGGAATGGGGCATGGAATGGACGCATCCTGGAGCGACAGGTTGTACGTCCCAGTTCTCTGTCGGTAGCTGCTGAACATGGCTTTGCCTGGAAAGCCAAATTCCAGAGGAATTACAGCCAAGTCAAAAATATGTATATATATATATGTATATATATTTATATAAAAGAATATTATGGGTGGTGGGAAATAGTATAAGCTTCTGTGTGTTCTGTGCAGGATTTGGAAACAAAGCCGACCAGGCTGGAAGAAGTCGACCTGGACATGATTCCCATGAGCGTGGAGCTAGAAGAAGAACGAGATGGCTTGGCAGAATACACCTTCCCAAAGTTTGCAGCTACCTATTTCCAGGGGTCATCTACACATACACACATCCGGAAACCGCTGCGGCACCCGCTGCTTTACCATGACGACAAGGACAATGTCCTGGTATCTTGCTGCTGCTGCTTGCTGGTGAACTTGCTCCCTTCCAAGAACTGTCTCCCGTCTTCCCTGAGGGATAGGAGGATGGAGAGAGAAGTGTTTTCTTGATATTAAGCAGCCTTCCAGAGTGAGGAGTCCCATGCTGCAAAAACCTTGGCATTACTTGGTCTTCTGTTTCTGGGCATGAGGGCTCCTGGAAGTGCTCCCTGCAAAGTGCTGGTCTGTGCAGCTGGGTAGATGAAAAGTGCATCTCAACAGGAGGAAGGGGCACGTGGCCTTTGGTCCTCTTGGCAGTGTCTCATTGTGCTCTCTGCCGTTGCAGGCTTCCCTGCTTGTGTGGGTCGTTATCCTGCGCTTCATGGGGGACCTGCCAGAGCCAGCAATGTTTGCCAGGAGCATCACCACCAAGAGCAGCTCCGTGATGACACAGATATATGACACAATTGGCAAGAAAAACCAAGTCCAGCTCAGAAGCAACAGCCCAAATATGGTGAGAGGAGCAGGATTTTTGTGTTTTCAATTGATTTCCTTGGTTCGTGTGCAGTTCTACAGAAAGAGAAGCAAAGGAAACCCTGCAGGCTGTTGTACTTTTAGCCAGAAGTATCAAACAAGTGCAGAGGGGTCCCTATCAGTCAGGGGAGGACACTGCAGCTCCTTGGAGTAATAAGTCCCAAATTTTGCATCTCTCTTTTCTTAGTGACTCATTCTTGCTGTGCATTGAACTAATTTCCAGTAATGATAATGTGTGTCACAGGGAGACAACAGAAAGGATAACAAGATTTCCAAAGGGATCTCCTCCCTGAAGCTGAAACGGTCCTCCAAGCTGACAGGGAAGGTAAGAGCTGGAAATAAATTGGCTTCCCTAAGCCTCTACCTGGACTCCTATCTTGCCCCTGCTGACAGATGTTACATGCCAACAGCTGGGGACTCACTTCCCCTCCAGGCCAGTGCATCCCATCCTATAGGGGAGATACCTGGTGCACTTTTTGCCTTCCTTTGAAACCCTCTCCATGCACACAGATGTCATTCGTTCCCTGGCAGATTCTCATCACTCCTTCCCAATGGAGAGGGACTCCTGGACACCTAAAACTTTAATGTTAGGAACTATTGCAGAACAGTTTGCTCAAATCCCTGAACAGACCCAAGAACCACCTTGTGCTTAGTGCTTACAGGATAATACAAAGCATTTCTCCAAGGCAGCAAGAATAGTGCTGTAACACAAGATTTGGAGTTGAAAGCCAGAAAGATGGAGCATCTCTCATTTCTTTGAGAGCTGCCTGGTATAAGGGAAGGTTTCCTGATCACTCTGTTGTTCTGCTCGGTTTGTTTCAGGTAGCAAACCAGCTGAAAAGTGGAGAAGAGGCTTTCCAAGAGGACAGCTCGATCTCTGAGAGACCTATGTCCAACCTTGAAAAAGTGCACTTCATTATTGGCAATGCAATTCTGCGCCCTGCCATCAGGTAAGAAACTTGCACTTTCTTTCGAGGACCAACCCTCATTGCCTCAAGGATATGCAGCACTCCCTTTCCAAAGCCACAGGGAACGCTTTTATCATGTTGCTTTCACATGCTTTATTACAGAGATGAGATTTATTGCCAGATTTGCAAACAACTCAGTGAAAACAGCAACAGGAGCAGCTACACTCGAGGCTGGATCCTTCTCTCCCTTTGCCTGGGTTGCTTTCCTCCTTCAGACACATTTGTGAAGGTACATTGCTCACCTTTCCTATAGCAGCTTAAAGGTCTCAGCTGCCCTCGTGTCTTATTTATTATTTTGATATTATTATTATTATTATTTACCATTTTGATACAAATAGACACCTAAACTATTTGGCTGTCATAGCTACTGGTGCTTTGATTTTAGTTTAGAAACTATCTCATCTCATAGGCTTATCTAGGAATTGAAATAAATGGCTGCCATACTAATGTTTACTTCTTTTTCATGACATGGCATATGAGTCAGATCCTGTTGTTGATGACAGCTCTCATTTTACATCTTATATTGTGAAGAATCTGCCAAATGTTATTATCTGCAGTTCTGCTTTGCCAGCACTTCAACCKGTCTCCAGTTACCAATCTCCTAGTGATTAAGTATTCCCTGAAGTCCCGTGCCCACAGTTAAGGAGAGAAAAAAATATGACCCTATATCTGCAAACCTTATACAATCCAGTGGAGATTGGGCTTTTCTACTATGTGGGTTTTTTTAGATACATTAATTTATAAATGTAGGTAAATGATAAATCCACTTTCCTGCAGAAAAAAAAAAAMAAMCAAACAAAAAAACCACTAAGATATCTGAGCCATACCAGCCCTGCAAAGCGCTGTTTCTCTAGTCCTTCTCTTCCAAAGTCCAGTTTTAATCTCTGTGTCAACCATCAGAATTGCCAGAGAGTTTACTGAAACTGAAAGTAGCCGTAACCTGCAGCCCTGCCCTGCAGCTCGGCCCCTTCCCAGYTTAGCTGATCACACAGGATGTCACCAGATACACGTTCTTCCATTGGAAACACTAACCCTACCCTTGCTCCAACCTTATTCTAGGAATAAACATTCTCGACTATTTTTGCAGTATAGTTGAAAATAAGGAATAGGCTGGTACTGACCAAATCTTCCTTTTCAGTCTAGAAATTTGTCAGAATGCAGAAAAACTTGGTGTCTGAAATCCTTTTTCAAAGCACCAATCCTAACCTTAATCTTTAAAATTTCCTAGAAAACTGTAACCAAGCATAAGCAATACTCTAACCTAGCCTATGAGCTGGAAACGKTTTCTTGTGTCTCTGACCTGCCTCCTGTGTCCCGTGTCTAGTACCTGCTGAACTTCATCCAYGAGGGGCCGCCGGGCTACGGCCCGTACTGCGCCGAGCGCCTGCGACGGACGTACGGCAACGGYGCGCGCAGCGAGCCCCCGAGCTGGCTGGAACTGCAGGTGCCGCGTCCCTCCTGCCCGCCCCACACTCACCCGGGTCCATCCATGCTGRGCTGCATTTCCTAACCGGGGTGCACAGACAGTGGAAATCAATTGCAGGTTCTGTTCTGTTAACCCAAGTCCAACAGAGGAAATAAATGCAGAGCTGCAACACTCGATATGCAGGTGATGCCTGCATCCWCTCAGGAGCTGCAGGTTAAACCTTCTCATGAGAGAAGCTCTTAATATTATCCTTGGAAAGGACTTAGCAGGGCTCATCCTCTTGAAATTAGCAGAGTGCGCCTGTGTGGTAGGGCCACATTGCCCTCCTCCTGCCTTTCAGTGTCAGCCTAATAACTACACACGTATCCCACCCCAAAGTGGAGACCTCAGCTTGATTCCTTCCTGTGCTGGACCATGCACCCTCCTGAGGGATCATGCACTGAAAACCACACGAGCACTGGGGATTCTCTTCATGATTGACAACTAGGGCATACAAAGTGTGGGGCTTTTAAATCTAAATTATCTTCTTTCTTCTCCACAGAAAAGTAGGTTTTGCTCATCATTTGTGTCTCTTCTTTAATTCTGACTTGCAGGCAACAAAGCAGAAGAAACCCATTATGTTTAATGTCACTCTGCTAAACGGCCAAAGCATCACTGTCCCTGCAGACTCTGCTTCTACTGCCAAAGAGATCTGTCAGTTCATAGCAGATAAAACCAAGCTGAAGGATGTGTTTGGCTTTTCACTCTACATTGCTGTGTTTGACAAGGTAAATCGTGGAAAATCAGAATGAAAATTGTGTTCTTCTCTGTGGTTTCTGCTCSTGGCTGAGGAGCCGCCCTGGCCTCTGTTCTAGGAGCAGCCCTGTCCCAGGCGAGTGCCGCAGCGGCCTCACGTGCCTGCTGTGGGGAGAGGCAGGGCAGCCRTGCCGTGTCCTGCTGCTCTGTGTCCCTGCTCAGCCTGCAGCCCCGCAGAGCTGCTGGAGCAGGCCAGGAGCAGCCACCTGCGGGTAGGCAGCTCCAACCACACACTTCCCAGCTGCGCCCTGACACACAGCTGCCCTGTCGTGTGGAGCAGTGCTGCTGGCACAGTCCCTACCACGTGGCCCGTGCACTGAAAGCCAAGGTCCTCAGCAGGGCTGCTGCCCTTGGCTCACCTGCTGCCATTGCAGCGCTCCTCTCCCTTTGTTTCTTTACAGTAATGGTGAGAACAGACACACTCAGCAGCATGACTTCTTGGTGCCCACGGCGGRGTGCACATTAATTCAGAGCTAGCACCTTTGCGTAGGCTACAGCAACACTTGCAGGTGTAGTTAAGAGGACATGTGGGTGACAAGCACAAGTACAGGGAGGCAGACAAAACACTGCAAACCCACTGCAAGCTGCCTTGCCTTTCTCCTTACCGTCTAACTTACTTTTTTTTCGAATGCCATCCCTGTGCCTATAAATGTACAAAAATGACCCAAGTACACTACACGTGCTTGCCTTTAGTTCTTTTTTTCTTCTGCTGTCAGGAGATGAGAAGCCCTGGGTGTGTTGCGCGTCACGCAGGTCCAAAGCAGGCATGCCAGTAAACGTGCTGGTGCTCTCTGCTAGGTCTGGTCGCTGGGCGGAGGACGAGATCACGTCCTGGACGCCATCTCCCAGTGCGAGCAGCTCGGGAAGGAGCGGGGCACCCACGAGCGCAACGCGCCCTGGCGGCTCTACTTCCGCAAGGAGATCTTCACGCCCTGGCACAACTGCCAGGAGGATCCCTTCAGCACCGACCTCATTTACCACCAAGTCATTCGCGGGATCCGCTTTGGAGAGTACCACTGTGAGAAGGTGGGTCCCATCCTCATAAACAGACAAAGCAATAGAGAGGTTAATATCCTTGCCGTTATTCTCCTTGACACTATGATTCTGTGAAGTTCCTCTCTCCTTATACTGRAATGCTATCAAAAATAGAGAACAAATGAGTTTTTAAACTGCCTTCAAGGATAGATAAGGCTAGGTGGACTTTATGACATGTTTCTAGGACTCTTCTAACAGATTGATTGTTTCAGGAGGATGATTTGGTGGAGATAGGTGCAAAATATTGTTACATCCAGTTTGGAGATTCCATCCACAATGAGCTAGTGCAAAAAGTGCTCCACGACTGTATCCCACTGAAACAGCTGAAGTCCAAGCCCCTGGAAAAGTGGGTGAGCCTTATAACCTACGCACATGCCAAGGTAAGAGTCTGGTCTGGCACTGCTGGGGGAGCACTCGAGTGCTACCTTCTCTCATCGCTTCCATTTATGGTCTGTAGAGGGAAGACAAACCTCTCAGTTTATCTCCTGCAAGTAGTTAAGAGTGGGAGAGAGGGAATCTTTTTACTCTTCCACATATGGCTCAACAGGAAGACAAGAAACAAGAGAATGAATCACTGAATGGAATGTCTTTTAAAGAGTGTCTAAAAACCTCCCAGCTGATCACTGAGTCGGGATTATTGGCATGGAATGGAGTGTTATTTTCGACCTGGGTAGGGTTAGCTAGGTTATTCTCATGGCAGCTGTAGTGGGTTAAACAGAGCTGGAGTTCTGAGGGGAATCCGAAAGGCTGCACAGACCTGCTCACAGCCCTAGCTGCACGTGTCTTGAAACCTGGAGACTCGTCTGCTCCTCACTGACTTTCTGCAGGGGCACTTGATGTCAGTGATAACAGAGGACTGTCGGGATGCTCTGGGATGAGGCCGGCTCTTCATTATCTGCACTTTTGCAGATTATGCAAATAAGATTTTGCTGAGGAAGCCCTGGCCTCCTTTTGTATTGCAGGCCCCATACACGCAGGACCGGCTTTCCCGCCAGGCTGTGAAAGAACAGCTCGTGGATTTTGCTCGCTTTCAGTGGCCTTTGCTTTTTTCGAGATTCTTTGAAGTCACAAAGTTTTCAGGTAATGTCTGGAACTTGGGAATAGAGGACAGATAAAAGATAACATAAAGATAATAGAGGAGGGCGTTATATGCATTAATAAGGAACTATTCCTGCATTTTCAGGTCCCAGCTTGCCCAAGAACCACTTTATAGTTGCCGTTAATTGGAAAGGTATCTACTTCTTGGATGAGTCTGAAAAGCGGCTTCTTGAGCTGACCTTCCCGGAGATCACTGGCATCCACACCAACAGGTGAGTGCCACACGATCCCGCCAAGGCAGCTCTGCACACACTCGGAATGGGGTTTCYGTGTGGGAGGGAAGGACACTTTCTCTGCCTTTCCTTTGGGGAATTTGATTTGAATCTGTAGTGATGCTGCTCAGTTTGGAAGGTGTAAGGAAGCACAAACATGAGTCAGGATAAGAAAGGCCCAGATGAGCAGCCCAGTTAAGCTGTCATTAGGTCCGTGTGCTGGGAATGCGCCTCAGGTGAGGTGGAAAATAGGGTCACCTATTGCTGTGGGAAATAGGGTCACCACTGGCCTGCTCAGGGCACACCTCCTTGCACCATATCACTCAGGACACAGGAAAGGAAAAGTTTTCCTTACATAAAGGAAAAACACCTGTTTGTGAAGGGAGTCACTCCAACAGAAGGGTGCTCTTCTGTCTAGAACGAGGCACTTCCCTACAAAAACATGGGGAAATGGAATCCAGAGCGAGTTTGATCACTTTGGTCCTTCTCACCTACCAGTCATGAGAAGACAAATTAGGAGCTCATCCTCAGGGAGTCATCGACAAGGATTTGTTGGTGCCTTGGATGTGATTCCGGATAGCTCTGCAATCTTTKCAGTTATTCTGGTAACAAACTGTTCTATAACATATAGGGCAGTGAAATCCTTTGGACAGAGCTGCACTCTCATCACACTTCGTGGGGAGGAGTTTGTCCTCACGTCTGTCAACAGCGTCGTAATTGCCGAGCTGGTGGTTATGTTCCTGGAAGGGCTGAAGAAAAGATCACGATTTGCTGTGGCAATGCAAGAGAARAAAGCCCAAGGTAGGTGTGATCACCTGATAACATTGCTGCAGAGCTGGGAGAAGCCCTGGGAGAATGAACAGCACTTGTGTGCAAGAGCTCAGAGAGGAGCAGGACCCCATGCAGCAACACGCCGCTGCAGGAGGAACGCGCATGCCTCAGCAGAGCAGCAGCGASCAGGGGGCAGTGGATACAGATTAGCCTTCCGTTAGCTACTGCAGCTCCCAAGAGCTCGGGCTGCCCTGGAGCAGGACGCTGCGGTTTCCTGAGCTGCCTGGAAACATTTTCCAGAAGAGCTTCACGGAACTGGCAAGCTGGAGGCTCCTGTGGAATACAGTTGCCTGGAGCAGTAAGGAAGTATTGATGATGTAAATATTAAGTTTAGCTACTTATCACTGCTAATTTCCACACCCTGCAACATGATCTGCTCACAAATTCTGCAGCCATTTGAGTCAAATGGAGTTTTGCCATTGGCTTCAGTGGAATAAAATCAGGATGCTAGAGCAAATTTCAGTGTTTTCTCTGAAGTGTTGCTGAGTGATATGGCATATTTACACAAAACACTTGCTATTGCTAATTGGATTCAAACTTTGAAAACACCATTCCCTCGTCATTCCTATTGAATCCCTTTCCATTTTCTTGGCCTGTCAAGCCTGAACAGTATTTCCTTATTCTGTTTCCAGAAGACCCTGCCATCCTGCCCTTCAAGAAGGGAGACTTGCTAATCCTCACGGAAGACAAAAGGCTGGATGCAAATTCTGCCTGGATCAGTGCCCAGAATGAACGGACAGGCAAAACAGGGAATGTGTCTTTAGAAGACATCTACATCATTCCTTCTCTCACAAAACCATCTAGTCAACTGCTGGTAAGAAAAGCTTAGCACTCTTTTTGAAGAGGCTGCAAGATAAATGCTGTAACAGTGCTAATTATGATTAAATTCGTATCTGGAAGATGATTGTTCCTTCCAAATCAGACAAGTTCTATATCTCCCATTTTATTCTGTCATATCTGAAAGCAAAACAAAAATCAGCCCAGACTCTAAGGATAAGACTGCAGTAGTACAAAAGCAATGACTTTCTAAATAATGCTCCATTCACCATAAGAAAGTTCAGTCTTGAAATTAGCTGTAATTAAGAGAAAAAGATGCACAGTGCCTGTAATTAATTCTCTCTTTGGTTTTGAAGCCTCAGTATATTGGATACTTTGGATCACACACACTTGGATGACCACTGCTACTAGGTCTATGTAAATGGCTTTCTTGGGTCTCCAACTCTCAAGTCTTTCTTCTCCTGATGTTTTCCTGAGCCTGAGAAAATACTTTCAGGGTGCTGTGTGTCTTGCTGCCGAGCACACTCCAGCTTGTTATAAGCCAGCTGTCTGTGTTAGCACTTCAGCAGCCCCCTCTCTGTGGCTCTCCCCTTGCAGAGTTTGCTGCTGATGTCCCCAGACCAGAGGAGGACAGCGTCCCAGAACTCCCACATGGAGGASCCCGATGAGGAGGATGTCAGAACGAAGCCTTACACTTTGGAGGAATTCTCCTACGAACACTTCAGGTGAAGCTTCCTGTGCCGGAGGAACTGCTCCCGGTGCAGTATGTCTCCTAGAAAAGTCTGTAGTTCTTCAGCARCCTTAAAGCCTAGGATGGAACTGCAGCGCCCATTTTTGACTGAATTTCTTCCCTCTGTTCCCTGCAATGAAGCGTGACACTGGGCCTGCAGAGGTTCTGCTGCACGGTCTGCTTCTTTCTTTTGCCTGCAGAAATGTAAGTGGAGGAGTGTGCAACTCTCCTCTGGAATTTTTATTTCCTCTCAGCAGGCCCTGTGCTTAATTCTCACCTCTCTCCAGCACTTACCTGCTAGCTAAGCCAGGCCATATGCCAGGCCTTGGAAAGCAGCGGGGAAGTCTTCTAACCCTCTTTCCTTCCTGCAAGCCTTCCCCTTCTGAATCTAAAAGAAACTACARTTCCCTGTAGAATATGTCATATGGGGATATGTGGAGGATATATGAGATGTAAGTCTTTGTGACGATGACTTCCTATGCTCACAGCAGTCCTGATCCAGTGTATTTGTGCTACGTGCCTGTGTCTCCCYGCAGGACTCCTGAGAAGGAATCCATTAGCAAGGCTGTTCTCCAGAAATCCCGCGCGCRCAGTCAGCTGTGGGCACATTCCAAGGAGCCCTTGAAGCAGCCCTTGCTGAAGAGCGCGTGCATGGATGCTGATCTTCGGGACCTGGCTTGTCAGGCCTTCATTGATATCCTTTCACTCTTGCCTTTGGGCCTGAGGACTCTCAGGGAGAGGAAGAGCTGCCTCCACTAAACTTGCTTCCATTGGAATCCACTTTAAAGGGGCACACCTGCACCAAAGGAGGCGCAGGATGYGCAAGACAAGAGCTACCGTAGCCTTGTTTCCTTTTCTAGTGGGAAAAGGTTCCCATTCTGCCCCAGTGCGCCACAGCCTGTGCTAACCTGTGTAACTGAGATAGGGATTAGCAGTGAGAGGGATTTCCTGCACGTGCTCAGGGCAGTTAGTGCTGTACCAGCCATACCCACTGCCACACTGAGCTGGAGAGGGCGCAGGGAGCAGGCTCGGTCCTTCCTCCCAGCAGCTGCCACCCACACCTGACCAGAGCCCCTTATGGGAAGGCCCCAGTGGTGCTTTGGACTGACCTGCCYAAGTGGACCCGCTTGTCCTTGACGGCGCGTGCAGCCATCATGAAGTTCATGGGGGACTACCCGTCAAAGCAGGCGCACTGCTCGGCCGAGCTCACCGACCAGGTGTTCGTGGCGGCCATCCAGGAGGAGCTTCTGCGCGACGAGATCTACTGCCAGATCATGAAGCAGCTCACGGAGAACAGGAACAGGTAGCGGCCTGGGCGCCGTGCTCCAGCGTCCTGCGTCGTGGCTGCGTCTCGTCCCCGAGCGAGACGGGGCCAGGGGAAGCCTGGGCGATGCTGGAGTGACCCTTATCGCCATCCTACGGGCGTGTAGCTCACACCAAATCTCTTAACACGAGTAGTGACTCCTTCGGAGTGGTTTTATTGCCCAGCTTACGGGGCTGCCTTGCAGGGYGGATGGGTCACACAAACGCCCAGGCTCTCCTTCCCCACCTGTAAAATGGATAAGCTGACCCACTTCCTGGGGAACTGGACTGTAAAAGGCTAGAAATACTAGTAAAATAGTTCAATTTGTTGAGGAAGATGGGTGTCAATTCCTAGCATTCCTAGTAATGTGTCATTGCAAAAGTTAGAAAAGGAGCTTCCTTTTGATCCAATTGATCCACTTGATCATTTTCTTTCTTGCTGTTCCTCAAAGACTGTTAAACTCTGTGGAACTTTTGCCACGAGGGTAACTATTAGCTGTTACTTTTTCTTGCAATGCAGTAAATCCCACGGGCTGTTCAGTGCATGCTGTGTAACCATGGTGCCAGTGCCATTCTTGCTGTACCCCTACCCGTTTAGCCCTGTGGATCATTCACTGTTTTGAGCAAGATCACTGATGTGGAAAAAAACAGTGCTTGAAAAGTGCCTATTTCCATATATTTTCATTAGAACAGCCAGAAAAAGCCAGACTTTTTTATCCTTCCCAGGCTGCTGCCCTATTGACCACATCCTGCTCTCACGCAGGCACAAACATCACAGATCTATAGAGCGTAAATGGGATTAAAACAGTGTTTAATGGTCTGCGCGATCAGAAAAKTAACTGGGGAAAAGGCCAAGGCGTCTCTACTGGGCCGAGCCCTGGGGCCCCGGGAAGCAGAGCCGCGGGCTCTCCTCACCGGCACCCAGGTGCTGCACTGAGCATTTGGGAGCGCCCYGGGCCGCTGCTTCACGTGCTCTGCCCTGGCTTTGCTGGAGGAGCCTCTGGCCTCCTCCCCGGGGCAGAGTCCTTCCTACCCGTGACAGGGGGGCACCAAAGCTTGCACTGGCAGAACGGGCCGGCCTGGAAGAGCTGCCTGCAAAGAGCACAAACTTCACCTGGAGTTTTAACAGAAGCAACTGCCTCAATATACAGTGCCACCCCCGTGGTCATTTTTCAGAGCAGAAACGTGCATTAGGGACAAATAAGTATCAAGCAAAGCCCTTGATCACAGAGTGGAGAGGAATCCAAACCACTGAGAAAGCACAATTCAAATAAAGGGGAGCTTGAAACAGAGCCTTGCCCGTGGCTTACAAAGAGAATGACACTGGGGACACTCCTGCCATGATCATAAACTGGAGCTTATGTTTATTCATGAGCTTTGCAACTGTCATGAATATTCATCAGTCCGGATTTGGAATTATCTTTGCGTACGGGCTGGGGTCAGTGCACAGACAGGGCCTGCCGGCGCCGTGGAAAGCCCTGCTGCTGCCCGGCAGCGTCCCGGCTCCAGGGAGTGTTCTCCTCCCTGGAGCTGCTGCTGGCGGAGGGGAGCGCTGCAGCGGGGCCCCTGCTCTGTGTTCCCAGGTACAGCGTGACCCGGGGCTGGCAGCTCCTGTGGCTCTGCACCGGCCTCTTCCCACCCAGCAAGTCCCTGCTGAAGCACGCCCAGAAATTCATGGAAACGCGACAGAAAGAGCCCCTGGCCCTGGACTGCAGTCGGAGAATTCAGAGAGTGATGAGGTAAACACCTTGGATACAGCCAGCCCGGCACGTGCAGGAATCATGGATGTGGTGCCCAGAAAGTCACAGCAGATGAGATACCGGGACTGTTTCTTTTCTCTCTTTACATTTTTTTTAGTGTACGTTTTTACATTTACAAAGTAGATCCTGGGAAGAAAGGAGCAACACAGCCAGTTCCTACTCGCTGTGAACCCCAAACGAGCAAAACCCTGAGCTTTACCTGGCTGTTGGCATGAGGGCACCTCAGAGGAGCTGGCATTTCCCTCGTTCTGCCCTGGAGTACCTGTCCTGCTGAGGGGCACGCGATGGGGCATTCACCCTAGAGAGCTTCCTGAAGTCTGAGTGGCCCTTGTCTTCACACTTCAGGAAGGAACAGTGTTGCTGAGTACACTCAAGGGGATGACAGAACTGGTTAGGAAGATGCCTTCTCCATGCAAACTTCTTGCAGAGACTTTTAAAATAGCGTGCTTATAAGACCCTCTATTTCTCACTCTGTTAATGTGCTGAATTGGCATTAAGGATTAGAGCCCGCTCCGGGCCCAGTAATAGCATTTTGGATGGAATTTACCCTGTTGTTCAGCTCCTYGGGGATTGAACAAGCATCCAGCACTGACATCTCTTGTGGTGGTGCTGGCGTTTTCCAGGAGTGGCTCCAGGAAGTGGGCCCCTCACCCTGTGGAGGTTGATGCCATCTTGCAGAACAACACCAAGATCTCACTCAAGATTTGCCTCCCCAATGACACAGAGCAGGTGAGAACTTCTGGTTTCTCAGCCTTGACCTGCTGTGCTCATGCAGGAGCATGTCTCAAGATCTACAGTATTTCTCTTTTTTCCCCTCTCTGCCACATAACAAGCACCTTCTTTTCTTGTAGGCGTTGGATGTGGGAACAAACACCAAAATCCGGACTCTGTGTCAGAATATCGCTTCCAAACTGCAGCTCAGCTCCTGGGAAGGCTTCAGCCTCTTTGTCAAGATTGCAGACAAGGTAACTCTTTCTCAGCTAGAGCAGAGTAGCCAAACTCTCTGCTTTTCAGCTACTTGCCCAGATCACCTAAGCCACCATATCTTAAGCCAAGCAACATAGTTTCTGTCTTACTGAGGGAATACAACTTAAGACTAGAACTTTCAGCACCTGACACTTAATTTTGAGAACCCAATGTCTGTCATTATTTATGAGAAGAAGATGGCTAGGAATAGAGCAGGCATTCAGCTTGCCTTCAGTAAGTGTTGGAAAGAAATGCAAGCAAGATGAAGGGAGGAAAAAAAACCAAAAACAGAATAGAGAATAAAAATCCCATGAAATGAAAACCACACAAGCCTTCCTCTTCCTATTTCTCCTGTTCTTTCCCTTTGTCTCTGTCTTTACTGCCACCATTTAGCTCTCTCACTACAGACAGAGAAAGATAATGCAGCCTGTTAGTTGGGTATGTTGGCACGGTAGTATTTTATTTGATCTACTGTTACCATCTTCCCTGTTCACTGCTTGGCTTCTTCCAGGTGATCAGTCAGAACGAAGCAGACTACTTCTTTGACTCGCTGAGACAGGTGACAGATTGGAACAGGAAGAGCAAACCAGTGAAAGATGGTAAGGAAGGTGTCATCAGCCAGTCACTGGTGTGAAAAGCACCAGAACATGTTTGTTTGGGGATCTYACTGGGAATTAGATTGGTGCCAAAGATCATAGAATCACAGAGTCATAATGGTTGGAAAAGACCTTCAAGATCATCAAGTCCAACCRTAAGCCCATCCCCACTGTGCCTGCTAAGCCCTGACCTGCTGCATCCCAGACTGCAGCTGGATGCACACAAATTACAGGTAGTAAATCCTGTATAATGTCCAAGGCTCAGGCACTGCCAGACCAGGTATCAGCAAATCCCTGTCAGTAGGCTCTCGACTCAATGCTACTCCCATTCTGTGGGTCATTAGAAAACTGCCATTTCGATCACAGCCCAAGTTGTACTGCCAAGGGAGCATGCTCTTAGAATAAAGCCATTTAACTGCAATGACAGCAATGCTCTTCCATTCACCCCCATGGATAACTAACTTTACATTTTAAAATCTACATTAACTCAAACTTCACCCAAATTTCATGMTCAACCATTATGACTTTGGCTTATTTCAGAAAAGCTACAGTTCAGTTGCTTGAATCATTAGGCACCAAGGACTTCCTAGCTTCCTTTTTCCCCACTGCTGATTTAACTCACGACATAGAGATGTGTCACTGTTCTTTTCAGTAGAGCCATCAGAGAATGTCCCTGCATCCGTGTAAGGGAATTCAGGGTGCAGCACTCGAAACAGCAGCTCCCCTGTGCAACAAGGAACAACAAATAGCCCTGTTGCTGAGACTCCCACCTCCTCCTGCTCTCTCTGAAGAGCCTGATGCTGCACCTCAAATCACTGTGTGATCAGCGAACTGACAACTAACCACTTCTTGGGCCTTCTGAAACTGTCTTTCACACTATTTTGCCAGGGATTTTGTTTCTCATTCATTATTAAGAGGAAACTCAGCAGTCAGTTACAAACCACAGGACGGCAGGACTTGCTAACAGAACATTGTTTCCTTAGGGACGCCGCTGTCTCTGGCTTACGAGGTTTATTTCATGAGAAAGCTGTGGCTGAATGTAATTCCTGGGAAGGACCTGAAAGCAGATTCAATTTTTCATTACCACCAGGTAACAAGCTCCCGAGGGCTTAGCTATGAAGGCAGGCCACACCATCCATTCAATTCTCTAGAAAGTGAGCCTGCTCCTGCTGTGTGTGCTCAGAGAGGGTCTCTTGCAGGAGCTGCCCAAGTACCTCCGAGGCTACCACAAGTGCTCCAAGGAAGAAGCTGTGCAGCTCGCAGGGCTCATTTACAAGGTGCGCTTCAACACGGACCGCTCACAGCTGGCCAACGTCCCCAAAATCCTGAGGGAGCTGGTGCCTGACAACCTGCTGCGAGCAGGCTCCCCAGAGGAGTGGAAGAAGGTAAGAGTCTCAGCATTAGTTAAGGCTTTCCCTGGCCATACTGCTTCCAAAAAGCTCCAGAAGAAACACCTGGAGCCACATTACCTTTTGATTACCTGTTTTGGGGATTTGAGGATCTCATAGAAAAACTGAAAATTGGTGCCCTTAAATATTTCATAGCGGGTCATAGCAAATCAGTTCCTTTGCACCAGGTGTGTGCTGCTCATAGCAGACAGCTCTTTGCTCATTCAAAAGACAGAAAAGGTTTAGCAGGTATTCTTAATCCAGTGAGGGACACACTGGCCACCACTGGCAAGATTTGTATTTTGCAATAGAAAATAAGATAAATACCTGGGGAAACACTTGCTCTCTGAAGTTTCATGCCACGTCATCCCTCTTCCTGGAATCCATTCCTCTGCGCTTGTGCACTTCTCTCATCCAATTTATTGGCAGGAAACACACGAAAATGCACCACAAAAATAAAAACCAGTACCTTGCCATGGCTTCCATCACGTCCCTTCTGCTGATGAACTTGCTGATCAAGACTTCCTTCTTGCCTCTAGCCCATCTCCTACAAACTCTGCTCTGTCTCTGTTTTCCTCCACAGAGCATTACTGCAGCATACAACAAACACGAGGGGAAAACCGTGGACGAGGCCAAGGTTGCCTTCCTCAAAATGGTCTATCGGTGGCCAACATTCGGATCGGCCTTCTTTGAGGTCAAGGTAGGTCTAAAAGCCTGCACAAAAGGCTTTGCTCCTCTTCCAGGTGACTAGCRGTAGGAGTTGACTGTAATTCCAAACCCACGTGCCAATGAAACTGGCTTCCCACCATTTCCTGAGGAATTCCTTCCATTTCTTTTACACCTCCTGAGCTATGCCTGTTACTTACCGATTATGTTGTTGTTCCAGTTCCTGGAAGGGATGAAGTTGCAAATAGAGAAGTAATCCCTCGGCAGTGTATATGTTGAATGGAAGATGTAGATACTTAACTGTCCCATCATTCTTGTCCACACAAAAATGCTATAAATCCTACTTGCTCTTCGAGGGATTTTCTCCTCAGATCAGAACTGTATTAATCCTCTCATTCTGCAGTAGATGCCAAGAGGGATCACTTCCTGCTTTGTAACTTTAATTTCTCCTCATTAACTTCTCACCAAAAGGGTAGTCTTGCATCCAACTATTGAACCTATTATTAGATAGTTAACACATCCGATTCTGCTTTTATGTAACGGTTGCTCAAGTCTTCAACGTATAGCCAAAAAAGTCATCCAACATCCAAAGCAACAATTACATAATACTAAAGAGGTTGAGGTTTCGGTTCTCTGACCTGGTAATGAGGAAAGGCAGCACTAGACATTAGTAAAGGTGACTTAGCGTAGATCACATGTTACTTTTTGGGCTTATCTCGCTTTGCTCCTCATCTACAGCAAACCTCGGAGCCGAATTTCCCAGAGATTGTGCTGATTGCAATCAACAAGCAAGGAGTCTCCGTGATAAATCAGAAGACAAAGGTAACATTTGCTTCTCCAGAGTTTGCCTAGTCCTCTAAATAATGTCACCTGCCTTAACCAGGCAGCTCCAGTGAAGGATTTAAGTGACGGTGCTACTTCGCAGACAGCAAGTCAGTTCTCCTTGAAAGTTAGGAGAGGATGGGGTCCCCCTATTTGCTTTCTGTGTGAAAGTGAAGAATATGTTATTGCCTCAAAGATCTTTTTGATGGTTTTTGCACTAGAGCATCTCTGGGGAAAAAGAAAAAAGTGTTTATCAGGATAGCCCTGGACAAAGTGGTAGGATCAGGATAAGGCAGATGAATGGACAGTGTACWGAGAAACTTACTTCAAAAGAAGAAAATCCATTACTGGAAATGCTCTTTGTCTACGAATTACATCAAATTACAGATTTAGCGTTTACAAACTCTCTAACCCCGCCAGTCAAWCTGGACATACCCAGATCGTAAGCAAAAAATTTATGAATTTCACTATTTGCTTTTAATGGGGAATGAAACTGAGTCTTATGTTACTGTACATATAATGGTAGTGTGCTAAGACAAGGATCAATACGTAATAAAGTCTCTTCATCTGCTTGGTAAGAATACAATAAGCCAATAAACCAAATAAAAAAAATAAAAAGTATGGATGCAAGTCCTACCTTGATCCACTGCATCTACAAAGCAGGATCTAAAAAAGGAGGCTCTAGGTCTGCAGTTTTTCTTAAGTGACAGTCTGTTTTCATTTGAGAACTGATTCATAGGTAAGTTACGTTGGTTTKTTTCACCTTGCAGGATATTTTAACAGTTTACCCCTTCAATAAAATCTCCAACTGGAGCAGCGGGAGCACGTACTTCCACATGACAATAGGAAACCTGGTACGAGGAAGCAGGATCCTGTGTGAGACATCTCTGGTAAGAGAAACTTTGCTGCCTGTGTCCAGAACTTAGAAAGCCAGGGGCCAAAACAGGCTTTACAATGAATGCAGGCACAGAAGGAGTTATGCCAATGTAACTGCCATTTAGAATTAGTTCAGTGCTGTATAACGTCACTGGATGCAAAGAAATAAGCCAAAGAGATAAGGAAAAATGGTAATTGCCCCAGTTCTTCCCATATATCAGAACTGTACCTACCTGAGACATGAAGACAAAATGCTCATTTACAACGACATCCGTCTTGCATGGTGTCATCAGCTGTGCAGCGACACCACCGCTGTAAGACTGTGCACCTTTGAATGAGGGTTACTGCCTTTCCTAGGAACTGCTTCCCAACTGCCCACGGGTTTGGGCAAACAACCCTGTATTCAYATTTAAAGATAAGCTTGTAGAGACAACCTTTAAAAAAAAGAAAACATGGGGAAAACTTCTCTCAGAGGAAAGCCTGGATTCCCAAGCACAAGATAGCAAGTTACAGAATAAATTTGGGGTTCAACGATGATGTTCTGCAACCTTCTGTAAAACCGTGAAGGGAAGAGCAGATGGAGGAAAAGCTAAATCCTCTGAACAATGACAGATAAGAGATGTCCACACAGGACAAAGCAACACAACAGGGAAGTTATTTTTGCTTCTGGACCTCTTGGGAGAGATTTTATAATTTTTCCTCCTTCTCTGGCAGGGCTACAAAATGGACGACCTGTTGACGTCCTACGTGCGGCTGCTCATGAGCGCTGTCAACAGGCAGAGGAACCTGCCGGCCTGAGGAACGCGGGGCTGTCTCTGTGCCAAACCCCCCAGCTCCCTCCCCGAGAACGAACAGCATTTTAGACACACTGAGCTTCATGCGGCTTGATCAGCTTCTGATCACGCACTCAACGACCTGCACCGCTCAAATACTGCCACAAGAAGAGCTCAAGGGAACACATGTTTTCAAATGTTTTCCAAATGTGTCTTATTTAAATGGGGTATGTTCCATTCACACTTTGCATTTAGAGGTAAAAAGGAAAAAAAAAACCCAGACTAATCTTGAAACCTCCTGATAGAAGTCTATTCCAATCTTGAAAAGAGAGTCATTCTTATTTTTTTCCCCCTTTGGAAAGAAAAGTTACCCTCGTTTCATGTGCTCTTACGAATACATAGATTTTCTGAGTCTTTGCAAATAAAGGTAATATTTTTTCCTCCTAATGGAAAGTTCTAAGAGTGGAGAAATGTGCTTTGATAGTCAGAGGTGTTCAGTGATCCTACAAGTAATACTGGTTTTTCATCCTTCTATCACTAGGCTGTGTGCTGCAAATTATAGTAGACGAAGAGAGACAGTTACTGTCACCACATCAATGTCACTCGCGGGTGTCGCCAGCCTCTTGGGCTGTTTGCTGGCTTATCGCTGCCTTGGTTAAATTAGATGCTTTTCTTTCTTCYACAGTTCTTCCTGCACTCAGAAACTAACGACTGCTTCCACATACGTAGGTTCAAGAAAGGGGTCTGGATTTTGAGTCCATTACTTCTACTCAGCAGCTCTTCTTTCAAGTTATAGTTGTGCTATTCAGGGCAAATCAGCACTAAAAAACTTGGTCTAACAGACAGCTGTTGAAAAGAGACATTCTTCTCTCTAACCATGTTCTCAGCTTGGAGTTATGCAGACATTCGCTCATGAGGCAAACGAATGTCGGCTGCTAATTTTAATAGCTTTAATTTATCTCRATCTTCTCCATTTCCTGTTTATCAGACCGTTTCAGCCATAAAACGTGGTCTAGCACTTGTTCTCCACGTAGTCCTTCATGAACCCACGAGCTGGGCCGCACAGGAGGCGCCCGGAGGCCGTACACACGTGCACTGTGGCGCTGGTCAGCTCCAGCAGGGAGCAAGGCCTGATCCGGCCCCTCCTGAGGAACCTCCTCAGGTTCCTCGAGACACCATCCGGCAGTGCTGGAAAGCAGCTCTGCTGCTTCCCTCCCCAGGCTGCGGCGGATGCGCCGCKGTCCCCTCGTCCCCTCGGAGAGGCGCGCGCCGCGAGCCCGACTCTAAGGGAGCGCTGGACATGCGGCAGGGCGAGGAGCCCGTTCAGCTGCCGCACCTCGGCGGGTGCYGCGCTTGTCAGGACAGCCGACCCTTTCGCAAGCAGTTAAACATTCCCGCAGCAATGGCCATTGCCGGCAATGGAAGCGCCGAGACTATCGGCTTCAGGTGCTGGCTCAGCCCGTTCCTGTTCTAGCCACGCTGAGCTGAGAAGCCTTCTGCCCCGTGCCTCCACAAAGGACATTTTGCAGCTGACATATTGCTCCCGTTTTTTAAATAAACATTGTAGAAAAATCAACCATCATGATGTCTTTTTCATCAAGCAAGTCTTCACTCCAGATCCATGCACCGTAAACCTACCAACCACCTAGCACAGGCAGATCCCATCTGCTTTTTCATGTACCCAGTACGATTTGCATGGCCTAACCTCTGAAAGAGAGGTATTTCTTTCAGCACATCATCATCAACCAGCACATCACCATAAAAGCAGCAGGGATCCAAAACTTGAAGCCGGCACAGTATGGAATCAAACCTAGACAATCCTTCCAGGTCCTGGAGCACTCTGGCTCACTACTGCAAATGTGACCTCCCAGTTTTACTTTACAACATACAGCCTTTCATACATTTGTATTAAGCGTGAAGATTCAAAATGTATTAAAGTTTATTACAAGAATATAAACAAGTACAGCATTACAACCTTTTAATCCACAGCCACGTGTTTTGGTTAGGGAGCTCAAGCCAACTGTACGAAGTGAGCGTCAGGGTGTGCAGCATCCGGCCCTCACCAAGGGCTGCACTCGGGGAGGAGCTCCTAGGCCCTCTCCTAGGTCTGCAGCACCCTCAGCACCAACCAGTGCTCTCCACACTAGTGGGGTGGCATTTGCTGCCCGCTGCCTGCGCCCAGCTCCCCTGCTGCACAAGGGGCAGTCTGCACAACTGAACACAAACACGCGACTGCAGAGCCGCGCAGGGGAGGCTGGCCAACATTGAATATTTGCCTGTGTTGCCCAGATTTCTGTAAAAATGAGAGCAGGACTCAAGCTCGAGAGAGCAGACTAGCGTGCCATAAAGTAATTAACAAGTAATTAACATACCCTTTGAATACAAATAAGCCTCACATGCTGTGATCTCTAAAAGCGTTACTGGTTTCAAGTGTACTCAGTGAATATTAGTGATTTAATTCAGTATGTATAAATATAAATGTAAACTATAAAATTATATAATAAGACAGCAGCTTTTAATAAGGAAAGACTTCTGAGCTAGCTTCAACCTTGATCTAAATCTGTGCTCTTCAGTGGGGCGATAGCCACAATGGATTTGGCCAGCACCCATTTACAGCAATGGAAAAAAACCCCAAACAAGGCAAGCACCTCTAAACTTACACTGCTGACCAAGACCCTGACTCCGAACAATCATGCCAGCCTAGCAACACACCAAGGAAAATTCACAACACTGTGGTATCTGCTACTATTGCTTTTTTAAAAAAGATGCATTTTTTCAAACTTTTTATAAGTTGTTTTTCTCCTATTCCCTTGATTCCTCCATCTCACAAAATGGACATCAGTAATACGCATGCTGCAAGCTGTGGGTAGCTGGAGTGAAATAAAGACTATTTTGAAAATTATGAATTCATAATTAAGGAAACATTAAGACAACACCCCTATCCAGCTATTAAATGGATCAGAGACTATAGTGACTTTTTCCACGACTAGTCTTAGGAAATGCTCTGAAGAACAGAATCCAGTTCCTAGCGAACTGAGCAGTCTGCTGCAGAGAATGGTATCAGCTGCCCTTTGAACACTGAGGCTTACGAGGGCTGCTCAGTTTCCAGCTCGCACTTAACCTTAATTAATCTTAATCTTCACTTAATCTTAATTCACCTGTAGTAGAAAAGTAATTCCATTCAGCTCTAGGTACATGCATTTTCCATTGCTGAAAAGGGCCACGGAAAGCACATTTTCTATTGCCTGCTAGTTGCATAGTCTTTCCATATTTACAAGTAGGTAATACTGCTCTGAGGAAGCTGAAGGCACAGAATTGCTGCTCAGACTTGGYGTTAGGCTTGGCCTACAACCAAGACTGGAGGAGCAGGGTTGCATGTTTTACATGGAGAAGAATCTGTATAATATAACAAACTGTGTCTTGGTCAGTAGTTTTGTGAGCCAAGTGCCAAACAGGCTGGCAARCCTGGTCCTTGCCTGGCCACACGCTACTGCGCTAAAAGCTCTATGTGCTCTGTGTGCACTATGTGCCCTTATCTGAAACATCACTTAAAGGCTGGCAAGATTAGCCACCTGTTCTCCTAAAGCCAAAGTGACAAAAGCCAATGCTACTGTAATCTACAGTGCAGACGGTCACAAGAGGATGGAAGAGTTCTAACTTTGACTAAAGTCCACTCCTCTGCCAGGTGTTAGAGTGGTGCTGAATATCTCAGTTAAATGCTTATGGCAACTCAGCAAAGCAAAGAGCAAGGCAGGTAAAGAAAATCTGAATTAGGGAAGCCAGAATCTTAGGTATGGTCTTGCTTTTGGGGTTCTGCTCTGCACACAGCCAGCCTGGGCAGGCCACCCTGCGGTGATTTCACTGGTGCAGTTCCATGGGTAGTAGCTACTCCGAGCATGCTAACAGGTATCTGTACTTTAGCTGTTACCTGGTTTAGATCTGCTCTGGGCAGAGTATGATGGCAGTGAAGAGAGTTTTGATTCAGGTTTTGCCCCAAACCACTTGCTGCTCACATTCAGAATACGTGAGGAAGCTTTAGCTTCTTGCTAGCTAACTCACCTGGGGCTGCAGAGTACAGCAGGGACAGCAAACTATCCATTTCAGAGGAGATTTAAACCATGCAAACTTTTCTTCTGCTAAAGAAATACTGAGAACGTTCAACACTAATAAATCTCTCAGCACCTGGGGTCTCCTAGCAGAGGCAACAGGACGAGTGAAACTGCACCAGTGATTGGCAAAACTATAGAGCAGAGAGAAACCTCTAGGCAAAACTGTTCTTAAAATTTACATATTTAAAAATTACAGGTTCATGTCTGATGTGCTCTCTTTAAGCCACTCAGATCTTTAGAAGAAAGCTGTTGAGAAACTCCTACTCAGGTTAAAGTTTTAGGAAAAATTATTTCCTGCTTTTCCTGCATGATATTACATTTGTTACAAACTGTAAATATTAGAAATAACTTCATGTCATTGGACTTTCTAGAGAGAACCTTGGAAAGTTTACTCCCTTTTCAGATAAAGTCAGAAGGATTGAATTTGAAACTGAAATGCTTAAATTAATACCATATTACCAAAGGGATTTCATTATGTAAAAGAATGAGAGCTCCAGCCACACTCCATCTGGAAGTGTCAGCTGTGCCARTGGGTAGCACATGAACTGTGCTGTCCATTCCGAGTTCAAATGCCCACAATATAAAAGACTAATTATAGAGCAAAATCCTAACAGAATTTGTCCTTTCCCCAGCCACCTCCTACTCAAGGAAAGCCCCAAATCTGCAGAAGGTGAYGTGGCCACAGAGACGGCTGAGGGGGAAGCAGCAGAGCAAACCGCTCCGGGCGGACGCGCTGCCACCGGTGCAGATGTTCAGACCATTGACTCTGGGTTCACTCAGGGAACCTGCAAACCACCAGGTTTGTACAGAGCGAGTGCTTGCTTAACAGCAATCGGGGCAAAAACCAGTGCATTCTGCATATGTAGTACATGTCTAGTACATATGTATGGTAGCCTACAGATTTTAAAAAATAAAACTTCTTCATACAGGGTAGCAGGAAAAACTTCTATGCTTTAACCAGAAAAGAGGTTTCCTCCAAACCTGTATCTGTTCACTGTTTCCAAGTTCTTTAGACTGTAAGAGAGACAGAGAGAGAATTATGGTTCAACTGCGGAGAAAAAGATGGGGTGCAATTCAAGGCAGAGTAAGTTGTTATGAACAAATTAACAGCTAGCCGGTAAATTGCTGAAGAATTCAGATCTTTTTTTTCTGCCAGAGTTACCAGACAGCTGCTTGAGAAAAGGGAGAGCCAAGACGCAAGCTGTGTCAGCAGAAGCAGGGGAAGGTACTACTGGTCTTTGGTYTGAATTGTTCTTAACAATTTCCTTTGTTATCAACAGTTGCTGTGAGCAGCAATTTGTGACTGTGAGAGTGCAGCCACCAGACTGAGACCTGCTTAAGCAGAATTTAAATCCAGAGCTTTGGGATGTGATTTCTTGGATGACAGCTCAGACAACTTCTTCAGGCGCTTCTTCAGCTCCAGAGGGAATTTTTCATAGCACTTCTTGCATACGGGCTTCATATCAAATTCCACAAACTTATTCCTTTAAAACAAACATATTGGCTATTAAAATATTTGCAAGCTATATGTCTGACACACACACGCATACATATGTATATACATATATATATATGGCATTTCCTACATTACTGCATGTATAAATCATGCATTTCCTCGTCTGGTCATGCAAGTAGAGATGAGATTCTCATCAGGGAATTGGAGCCTCTGGTACTGCTACTTTACTAAGGAATGAGATTTTTCTATGTATTTGTATATAGTARTCTAGAATAATATGTTATCTTAGAATGGAAATGTCTCTTCTAAGCTCCTCTTTGTGATGAGCTAGAGCTCCTTAAAATACAAAGCCAGTGGGGCCAGACCAGCATAACAGGGTAAGGTTGAATGTGAAAAAGGAAAATGTTGGATTGCTTTATTTTCTTCTCTCTTCTGCCAATTGGAGGCAACTAGCATAACATTTTCCTTCAAAATATTTTAAGCATTTTTTCAATACCACCACTAAGAAGAACATCCAAACAAAGGACAGAGGGAAACTGCAGATATTTCAGGACAGGCGGTCACTGTAAAGTTGTAAGCCTTCCCTCTGCACTCCTCAATGAGTTCTCCCCTGACAACCTTCCTACAAAACAGATTAATGAAAGAAAATAAATTAGAGCGGCTGCTGGCTCCCAGACCCCTTTAGTCCTGAAGTCAGTGGGATCTAAAAGTGCTTTCCCCTACAGAGCAAGGCATTTCTGATGAGCTTATCTTTGCAGAGGCCCTAGCTGAGAGCTGCCCCAAGCTGACAGCCTGTCTCAGGGGCAAAGGGCTTTGCTGCAGCCCAGCCACAAGCGCTGACTTACTTCAGTGTTAGCTTGATGTTGCAGGTGGAGCAGGAGAAGCAATTCACACACCAGGCCTTGTTAAGGGCTGATACCACTGCAAAAGCAAAAGTACAAAATAAACTGCCAGATTATGTGAATTTGGATTTGTGTCCAAATTCAAATGAGGCCAGATGTGAGCAGAAACACTGGGGCCTTGCAACTGTGCGACTGCAACAGCTGCCCTGACAAACGGACCAGGGAGAGCAACCCAAAACAGGGAGAGACGACGCTTACCATCGCCTTCAATCACGTGGCTGCAGTTGTAGCAGACATCTCCAAAGAGCTACACAGCAAGAGAAATGAGAACAGGAACTTATGCGACTGTTTGTACTCCCCAAATCACACAGCTGGTGCAAACATTAAATCCTAACAATCACCGAGTTTCCAGCCACTGCAAAAGCCCCCAGATACATTGGTCTAAACCTTCTGAATAACTTCTCATACACTTGCCAAATAGTCTATATTCACTTGGATATTGTACCATTAGATCCTTCAGGACCTTTCTTGTTGATGCCTCACACTCCACCGTTGTTATATGATCCTTAAGTCCTGCACATGTGGCTGAGGAAGAGAGAATCAGTGCAGTATGATGCCTACTGAAGGCTGAAGCTAACACCTGTCTCCTGAAGCTAAGCCAGACACATCAAAATAAAGCCCAGGGCTACTTCTAAAGCCCTAGCACTTTATCTTTTACAAGAGRGTGGGCCTAATTTTTGACAGAAGATGCTGAACTCAGTTTTTCACTACAGTCTGAAAAAACTACAGTCTGTAGTTTTTCACTACAGGAAAAATTACTTTTGGRTTGGCCTATGGGACACATTTTACTAATGATTTAGACAGCATATCATCTATCACAGGCCAAGAGGAGCCAGTAGTCATCCAAGAAGTCCATACCAGTTGTTTCAGAGYGCTATTACAGGAATTTTCAATGCAACATGTGGTCAGTGTTCTTACTTCTCTTATCAGCACTATGTTTTACTTCTACCAAGAGGCATCTTCTTTTTTTCTTAATTAAGTTCTAATTTCTTCCATTTGCTTTGTATCTAAAATTCAAATTACCAAAACACACCAGTCAAAACAAGCACCTAGCTACAGAGGCAGAACTTACCTGGTTATAGTGAGTTTCACAATAAGCCAGTCCTTTCTTCTCGTAGTGTCGGTGCCCCAAGAATGGCTTCTCACATTTGGCACAAACAAAATGCTGTAAAAGAAAAAGCAACTTTACCAGTGGCAGGTAAAGCAACTGCTGCAAGCCCGSGGGAAGCACCTGCATCTCCGGCCACAACTGATGGCTCAGTGCAAGAGTCAAGGGTTTAATGCAACTCAGAAAAAYGGTGGGAAGGAAGAGGCCTCACCTCCACGTGCCACTGCTTGCCCAGTGCGTTGACCACGCGYCCCTCGATGGGCCTGCGGCAGGCTCCGCAGATGGGGATGCCCATCTTGTCGTGGCAAGGCAGGCAGTAGAGCTCTCCCTTCAGCTCCCGCGCCTCGGCAGTCAGCTCCTTCCTGAAAACACAAACACACTCCTCAGATAGCAGCTCTCCAATGTCTGAGAGGAAGCTCTGGGAGACTAAGCTTGAAAGCAGACACATTTTGTCAACATTTATGCTAAAAATCATAAGATATTAAATTATGCTAGTGAAATATAGCCACAGTCAGATAATTTTTATTTTTATATTTTCTCAGTTTGGCAGACAAAAGAACCTATGTGATACATCACATCTAAATACATCTAGATCCTCTGGTAAAATATGAGTGATGCAGCATCATGTACTCAAGCTGTCTTTGAAGGCCACCGCTCAGGTGCAAGGAGCATTCCACCAGTGCTCAGTACAGAAGCACAGAACAAATCACCTTATTCCTCAGCAGTGATGCCCTCCCTAGGGGACTGCTGTGCTCCAATTRCACTGCTTTTGTGAGGAGTAACTCAGGGAGGGATCAGTACTGCACTGGATTGCACCACATAGACACACATACAGAGCTCTCCAAATATTTTTTTCTAAACAGAAATGCAAAGTCAAACCATTTTGAATACTCTGTCAACAGCTGTGTTTGGACAACGCTATTACTGTAATCCTGATGTGGCCTTTGAGGTAAATTCCTGCCAAACAATTCTCTCCTGTCAGTATAAAATAGCGTTACTTAAGCTTAATACTGAAGAGCATCAAACAGCAAAATCAAACAACAATTCTACTAAGCTTTTCCTTTTCTTTTTCCTCGTAGAATTGCTGTTTGACGATGTGAAGGCAGCTTAAGCCTCGGAAAGGACAGTGTTACTGACAGTGTTATCCAAACACTGTCCAGTGTTTGACTCTTTTGTTGTTAGAGTTTGAACATGAGAACCTACCCACAGTGGGTGCAGTTGAAGTGATCTGGATGGTAGGAATCGTTCCTAAACATCAGAGGCTGCTCATCGATTATCAGGTGGCACTTCTGACAGATGTACTTTCCCAGGCCTTTAGCTTTCTCACGGTTATGGCATGGCCTGCAGAGATGCCTGATTGAACAAAGAAAAGAAAGGACGACATCAATACATTCTTCCCCTCAAACAATGTACTTAAAGCCACGTCAAAAGAGTCTTATCAGTTCAGACTGAATACCATTTAATTTAGTCTTCAACAGTGGTTGCATAGGGGGGAATACACGGATAGAGCAGACACAACTCCTCTGAATACTCCCCTAGCATTCTCTCATCTATACTGGGTACCTTTGGAACCAGTGKTGTATTTCCTATCCCTTCATGATTATTTTCTATAGATTTGTCTAATCATATTGTCTATAAGCTTCTGGTGTCCACAACATACTTTGACAAAAAGCTCGACTATACAACGCATGGTGAAGCATCCCCCTTTATTTGTTCTGTATCAGCTAACTTTATGTTTTCTAGTTCTTGCATGAGAGGTGGTAATAAAACACTTAATGAACAGTCATCACCTTCATATCCCTCAAGACTTACAGATCACATCACATCTCATTTCAATCCTCCCTTCCTCAGGCTAGCAAATCCTTGCCTGTTTAGYTGTTCCTCACTGGGAAGCGATTCGTATCTCTAATCACCTGCCATTCTCCTACACTTCCAGTTCTAGGTCTTTTTTGAAGGATGGGTAAGGAGGAAAAAGAAAATAAAAAAAAGGCAACACCCTCTCCCTATTAACAACTAGGGAACCCTGCCACAACRGAGGAGGGTTCATTATAACCTTTGTGAAACTAGGATTTGTGGGTTATTCTCAAAAGAAACCAGACAAAAAGAAAACTTTGGCAGGGCAGATTTATGGCTAAAGTAGTGGGCTAAAAAGCGGGCTCACTACAGGGCCCCTTCCAAAACTGTGTTGCGTGTGAATCACCCTTAGATCTGTAAAGTGAGGATAAGAAACAACACAGATATTGTTAGGAGACCTCGGGCGCTGATGACCCTCAGTTGGCAGGCGCCTGTCTAAGTGCTAAGTATCATTATTATTCCCTCCACTTTTGCGTCCTGCCGTCAGCAAGAGTCTCTCTCCAGGGCTGGAGCTCCCGTCCTCGCAGACGGGGCCCAGAAAAGGCAGACAGCACCCCATTATAAGGAAACACGCAGCTGTGCTCATCCCGGCATAAAGGCATCAATTTTATTCAGCACTGTCAAACGGAGACTAATTATACGGGGCAGGACACAGGGACCCTGAAGCAAGTGTCCTGAAAGAGCCCCCTCTCCCTGGGCTCAATGAGGGGCCTTCAGCCCCTCGCACTGATCGGCCATTATGAGGCCCCGGCGGCAGCTCCCCCTGCGCTGCCCGGACCCCCCTGTCTCGCCCGCGCAGGGAAGCGCCGGGCAGGCCGAGCTGCTGCCATGGCAGCCGCCCTCTCCCCCTACCCATCCCCGCCCTGACGGAATTATCCCATTCCCAAACGTGCTGCCGTGCCTATTAATACCAGGCTGCCCCACGGCGCGCGCAGGAGCGGAGGCCCCGGAGGAGCGGGCGCCAAGGCCGGCGCTCAGCAGCGCAGCGGGGCCCGGCCGCACGCAGGGCAGGGCTGCGCCTCCTGCGCCGCTCTCCGGCCCAGGGCGCTGATACGGCGCTATCGGAGCCCGCAGGACGCCGTGCAGCGCGCGGCCCTGCTCCGCCCTCACCGAGCCCGCAGCCCGGCGCTCCTCGTGGCCCCTCGCTCCGTCTGCACCGGCCGCTGCTGCTTTCGGCCTTGCTGTCCTCAGGAGGAGTCCCCAGACCCCCGGCAGGAGCCTCTATTCCTGCTGCAGCACCGCACCACGAACAGGTAAGAGAGCAGCTTCTGCCGGGAGAGCAAGGAAGGAGCCTTCCTAGCAGCACTAGTTCAGCACTGAATCTAACACCCACAGAGCGGCTCACAACCACAGCGGAAACATCCAAAACGAAGAACAAACAACATTTTWAAAAAGTTCTAACAATAATGTTGCTGTTCTTCTTTATATCCCTCCCCGAAAACAGAGAAGTTTGCAAACCTCTGTGCTTGGCATCCGTGCCCGTGTGCCCGGGACACGGGCGCTCACGCAGGACGAGCCGAGCCGTGTTCCCGGACGCTGCTCCGGGGCGCACAGCAGGCCGGGACGCAGCGCAGGGGACGGGTGCCCGAGGAAGGGCATTAGTTCTGATGAAAAATATCTTTAGTRATAGACAGGGAACACTCCCACTTGCCAAAGTGCTGTAAGCATGATCATTAAAATGGGCAACCAAACACATTCCCAGGGCAGAAACTTCTCTAGCTGAGAGTAAAACCAGGAAACTCTGAAAACCTTAATGCATACTTATATATACATATATATATATATACTTAACACATACTGCACATTTGCTTACAGGAGGCACAAGGYATAGCAGAGGTGCCTCATCACTTTGGGTAACTAACAACGAGCCACCTCTTTTTGCCGCTGTTCATGGTCACGCTGGTGCCACCCGCGGGAGGGCGGTCACGCCGTGTCCATGTCCGTGTCCGCGGCAGTCACGAGCGCAAGCGGCGCCCCGACGCCGCTCCACGTGCTCCAGGTGCTCCAGGTGCCCGCGGCAGCGCGCGGGACACGCAGGGCCGCCCGCAAGGCACTCGGTTCCGCGCCGCGTGCAGCGGCCCGTGTTCACGGGCGGCCCTGGCGCGGCCTCCCGCGGGCTCCCCTCCACGGGCTCTTCTGCATCACACAGCTGCGAGCACAAGGGACACGTCTCGGGCTTCAGGAAAGTTTCTGCTTTCTGCTAGAAGCAGCTTTTTAAGGACTTAGGATACACTTTTTTTTGGGGGGGGGAGGGTAAGCATATCAAATAAACCCTAAAGAGTCCCAAAGTAAACGCATTCATTTGAAACTGGTAGGTTGGAAATACACCAAAGACAAAAGCAACTATAAACAATAGCAGAGGGCTTCCATACTGAGTGCAGCTACGAAACAACAAACAATTATTACCCTTGGTTGCTTTTTTGGGGCAATACTTCAATTCCAGACCACAGTTCAACATTTAACTCTAAAGCATCAGGTTTTTTTCCCTGAACTAGTCAAAGACAGTGCTATGATTTTCAAGTCAGCAAACAGAATTGTAAAGAAAATAAAATGAAAAAAGACCAAACTTTCTTTCCACTTAAAAACTTAAGCAAAGATAGATGGAGACTCATTTCTTTTTCCATCATTTCTGACAATGAAAAATACCTCCCCCCACTCTTCTCTCCAAAGTAAATGACACCACAGGAGCTCTTCTATGAAGAGAGTCAATTTAAAGACAGMGCCTATTCACATTTTATTGTTATTTCTAAGCCTTCCTCATCTTGTCACTGGTTCCGCTGGACTTCTGAATATCCCTCACATCCTCCTTCCCCCTCCACCCTACAGTGTTTTGGCATGAAATCATGGCAAAATCAGACAGAAATCTCGGGGAGAACTCTGAGGGGATGTTTCACACAGGCAACCCCCTAACATTGAGCTTGGAAGCAGGGAGGAAATCTGCTTTCTGCTTTACCTCTTGCAATCACTTAAGTCACTGTCATCAGGGCAAAGGACATCCCTGTGTGGTCTGCAAGGCCCCCCTTGCCTCAGCTTTTTAAACTGGTCCAGTGCAGCATTTCCACTGGATTACTACCACATTACTAGGAGATTACTACTATTTCCATAGGGCCTTGGCCAGGTACAGCACAACACTTACCCACCAGACTGCCTGGCCCCTGGCAGGTGCCTGCATGTGTAMGGGCCACATCCCTTGTTTGCAGATGAAAAAAAATACCTAAACAAAATGCTAATCACAAAAGAGCATCTAGCAACAACTCCAACCAGGGAACAGCACTGTAAACTAACAACCAGTAAAAGCTACAGTCTGCTCCTTCTCCTTTTTCAGTACTTAATAGAAAAATACCTATTCAAATTCATTTTACCCAGAGAAGGCAAATACTTAAGTATTTGATGTTTTTATCACATCAAAATTTCAAACCCTTCTGTTCAGAAATACTTGTAGGTTTTACTTTTTAGGGGGTGATTAAACACTAGGAACAACAATTGTGGAGTCCTCTGTAAATCCAGAAAACCCATGCAGAAAAGAGCAACAATTAATTTTCATTTTGTGCACGTGAGCAGTAGGAACTGAGTAGCTGAAGGGTTCTTGTGTATTTTTATAGAATTCCATGGCTTTCAGAAAAGAAAGGGCAGCACAGCCTCCCTTTCATACATACTTGAGTAGCTCCACGATAACAGTGTGTTGCCATCTCTACGAAGAAGCATGCAGCGAGCAGCAATTAGCACCGCCCACACAAAACTTGAGTCTTTTTTGTGCCAAAACATGCAGAAAATGTGAGCAATGCATGAAGTAAGAAGGACCCTCTGTGGCCACACACCAGAATTTCATTCATTCTTTTCCCTTCCGTTGGTTTTTGTCTCTGATTGTGAACTAAGCAGAAGCTGTCTGGAGCGTGTTCATCTCTAGCTACTACAGTCTTCTGCCCACCTGAAAGTGAGAGCAGCCAACGATGGAAACTACCTCGGAATTTTGTTTCCATTTGCTATGTTATTGGTCTGTTCCTAATTAGCCATTTCAATTTTCTCAATCAGCCACCAACGTCTACAGCTATCTGAATAAACAGTTCTGTTGGGAAGTTGGATGCGCTGCAGAGGGAAAGGAAGCAGGCAGATCTCAAAGAGAAAACAATTTACAGACGTTGTCATTGCTGACAAATACGTCAAAGGAAAAAAACCCAGAGACTCCATAGATCTCTAAACAAAATGCAAATGGCCGAGACAAACAGAGAGTCTTTTTGTCTTTGGCTGTTGTTACTCGAGTATTTTTTCCCAGTGTTTTCAAATCCAGTTCACTGACACTGCCCCAGCAATCTCTACAATGTGCTCTRGTACTTTGCTTTTTTTGTAATTCCTCCATTTCAACTTTTTTCAGTTTTCCTTAGCTAATTATCCTTTTATCCTTTAAAAATGCACTGAACATGATGAAGTAATGACATGATGGTCAACTCAACACAAAACAAATGATGTGCATACTGGGAGCACGGCAGTGAACACTGATGCATCTCTCTGGGAGCCAAGGAATAGGGACAGGACTGTAGACTTGCACTGCCCGCCTTCCCTGCTGCCCGTACGAGGGATGATCAACACATACAAAGCAGTGCGCAGGTGCCCAGAAAGTAATTTTAAATGACTCCAATTCCAGATCTGTCCTACATCGCTGCTATAAACATGACAGATATTCTAAACTAAGTTATCTTACAACAGACATCTGCATTCACAGAAGCAGATTCACTTGGAGCTCTTCAGCCCTAACCTGGGGTTTCAAACGTGAACACAGCAGTTATTTTCTAGCTAGACACACAATGCCCACTTTTCCATAAATATAAAGCATGAACGTTTAACTATTCTGTCATCCAACATAGCTGAGCACAACCTGCATACAGGTTTGTAACTGGCTAGCCAACTCTTTATGATTATTAATCAGCATGATTACTAATAAGCTCATGGGTTTTCTTCCCCCCAAAACAGGCTCCTTTGTAAGATACTGTCTCGATTCTTTCAGGTTTCTGCTTCGCGCTCCAAGCCTCTGGTGAAGGATGAACAGCCAGGATCCCTCAAGCCTGCTCTTCAATTGCTCAAATCAATCAAATCTTTCACTGAAAACTTCAGAGCAATGTGGCAAAGAAACACATCTGGAGAACATCCTTTTTGCCACTTTCTACTTCCTGGACTTCATCCYGGCCTTTGTGGGCAATGCCCTGGCTCTCTGGCTCTTCATGCGGGACCAGAAGTCGGGCACACCTGCCAACATTTTCCTGATGCACCTTGCCGTGGCCGACCTGTCCTTCGTGCTGGTACTCCCCACCCGGCTGGTCTACCATTTTTCAGGTAATCACTGGCCATTTGGTGAGATCCCATGCAGACTCACAGGCTTCCTTTTCTACCTCAACATGTATGCCAGCATCTACTTCCTCATGTGCATCAGCGTCGACCGCTTCCTGGCCATTGTGCACCCCGTGAAGTCCATCAAGCTCCGCAGGTCCCTCTATGCCCACCTGGCCTGTGCCTTTCTCTGGGTTATAGTCGCTGTTGCGATGGCACCGCTGCTGGTCAGCGTGCAGACAGTGCAGGTGGACAACACAACAGTGTGCCTACAGCTCTACAGAGAAAAGGCATCACGCCACGCTCTTGTGTCCTTAGCAGTGGCATTCACCTTCCCCTTTGTGACTACAGTCACTTGCTACTTGCTCATCATCCGAAGCCTGAAGAATGGCAACAGAGTCGAGAAGCACCTAAAGGAGAAAGCAATCAAGATGATCGTGGTGGTGCTAGTCATCTTTCTGCTTTGCTTTGTACCTTACCACGTCAATCGCTGCATTTACATCCTCCATTACGACGGGACCAAGACTTCCTGCGAGACCCAGCGTGTTCTAGCCCTGGGTAACCGTGTTACTTCCTGCCTCACCAGCCTGAATGGTGCTCTCGACCCAATCATGTATTTTTTTGTAGCAGAGAAATTCCGTGAGGCTCTGTGCAATCTGTTTTGTGGTAAAAAGACTGTAATGGTGCCTCAGACTTATGAGGGCAAGACAAACGAAAGCTCCCTAAGCGCCAAATCTGAACTGTGAACATTAATTCTCGCCACTGCTTCCACGTAAGAACATGATTCCACCAAAACCAGCCAGGAGAGCAGGGAGGCAGCGACACAGACAAGGGACAGCTGACCCAWGGTCAAGCTCATTTCTGAGGGGGGAAGTTCTGTCGTTTGGGGGGGACGACAGTTAGGAGGAACACCTCTGACAGAGATCGTGTTTTCTTGTCCTGCTGAAACTGCAAACACAAGTGCGATCACAGTCCAACTGATCTCAAAGACATGACACTGACGGCTGGACTGAGGAACTGGGAAGGAAGCAAAGAGGCRCTTATATGGACAGCCTGTTCTTACCAGTAAAATTCACCCCCTAAAACATTCAGTAATGTCTCTGCCTCTGCACGAAGCCTGCTTTCTAATCTTGCATYTATCGATCCTTGCGCTATCGATCCTTTGCTGAGGCAGACCTGCCTGAGCAAACAGCACAGCAGCACTTCTAGTTCTTCTAGGTCATTCAGCAAACTCCAAGTGCTTAGTCATAGTAGGCAGCAGATTGGTGCTAAACTGTGACAGTGAAGAAAAAGAAATGCAAAATGCTGCGCTGCAGCAAACCAGGACTGCAAATAAGATAGGGGTCACAATTGCTACACTGTCTGCCAGCACTTTTTGCTGGAGATGAGCAATAAATGTCACACTGGCTTTTATACCTGTCCTTCGCCCTGGCCCAAAGGCAGACAGAAACAGAACAACATTTTAGAGCCTTTGTTATGTAGTTTCCCACAACATATTAGATATTCTGAGAAAGAAAGAAAGAATGGAAAAGAGCTGTTCAGGAATACAGCATGCATCTTTACTACTTAGTGAATCACAAAATTCTCAACCCATTAAAAAAAAAATGCAAGGGTGAAAATGAACATACGAAGAAGTGAAACCCAGTTTGCCCAGAAAAAAATTCCTACCTTTAAGGTATTTAATAATTATGTAATTTCTGTGACTTATTTAGCAAGACTATAAATTTGCTGCAGGTAATGTATGTTAGACTTAACTATCCTCACTGAAACAAACTGCATCCAGTGGAACGCATCTGAGTGAGAGGGACCCCACAGAAGGAGACCTCATGAGTCCTAAGAGTTTCCAGTAATGTTTTATAGATCAATATTTCCATGCTACATATGTATGAACAAAWCCCTTTCTAAACATACTGCTAAAAAAAACAGCCCAACCTGAAAAGTCTTTCTTTCAAAAGAAAATCTATTAAGCCCACCTCTAAAAAATCTAAGGCACAGGAGTTGTACACAAGATTGAACAGAGAAGGGAGTTAGAGAGGGCAACCTGCTGGACAGGGTACCAATATACAATATTTTATTTTCTTTCTTGTCTTACCATTCAGTGAGAATAGAGGCTCCGGGATACTACTGGGCTTTGCTGAAGTCTTAATGAAAGCCTGAAGTTAACCATGAATTATACAACACTGAATGCTAACTGCTGCACTGTTTTATTTTCTTACTGTGATATGCTTTTGTACAACTACCCTTTTATGTTTTTAATGACTTACTTCTCAATTAAATGGATTAATCAAATTTTAGAGCTTGTTTTCCTATGTCTGTGTTTATCACCCATGGTTTAGAAGACTCAAGAGTACAGGAATCTAATAGGGAATGTGTTTTGCTGTAATCCTAGCGTCTTTTGYGTCCTCTCTTGGTCTTTCGCTACACCTTGATTTCCCACAGAGCAGCTTACTTGGTAAGTGGTCTGCCCTGGATCACATAAGCCCTCTGTTTCTCACCTGCTGTCCAGGTGGATTCTGAGAGAAGCCTGAGAGCTCCTGCTCCTTCTTACCTGCCAGCATTCTTCACAAAGCCCAGGTCAGCAAGGGCCACGTCGCAGAGCTCGCAGCGGAAGCACTCTGGGTGCCAGTTATTATTCATGGCCTTGATAACACGCCCAATGATGAACTCGCCTACAAAAGGAAAGCGACATCCTTAGATGTGAGCAGGAAGTTGTTGCATCACAAATCTGGTACCCTTCATCGTTCTTTCCTTTTAACTGGACAAGAAATACTACATTCTAGCTTTGGAAGAAACAGTTCTTCCCACAACCAGAATACACCAAGTTACTACTGATATCCTGCTTTGTTTCTATCCGAGATCCTGCTCCTTAAAATACCACAGCAACCCCAACCTGGGTGTAGATGTCACTACAGCGATGGGAGGACTTGCACATCCCTGTTGCACTGACATGAGTGCGCAAGTTGAAAGGAAAAATGTGCTAAAAGAAGGGCCACTCTCACTTAACATCCCAGTAGGTCCACAGCTGTGTGAGGCTGCTTAGATTTGTATTTGCAGTTCTTACCGCATTCCCCGCAGCAAGGGGCAAACAGCATCTGAAAGTCGTGTTCACAATATTTCCGACCTTCAAACTGTGAACGAAACGAGAGAGAAAATTCCTCGTGAACCAGTGAGCTCCTCTAGGTTCTAACTGTTCAATTAACCAACTGGTCAAGGTCAACCAAGCATTTCCAGTTTCAATCCCCACCACCTCCTGTTTTAAGCTCCAAAAGATTTTAAAATGTTTAAAATAACATGTTGCTCAAAATATTTATTTTGAGTACATGTTCTATAAAAAGATTTAAATCCCTATTTTAAACAATTCGCCATTTTTAGTCATGCAATTGGAAGAGTTYGTAAAAATATAAAAAAAGCTGAGAATTCACTTATTTGTAATGCAATATCAAAAAGTGTTTTCTGTTTTCATTTCTCAAACATCCCTTAAGCAGATAGCGTGCAAGGCAGAAAAGGGAAACTACATGGGAAACCTCCCTAAATGCCAGCAGAACAGAGCCGGCACAAAGCAATTATATCCACCAGAAAGATGACAATTCAGATTTCTGCTGTACCTTCCCCTTAATTCTTTGCTTACTTTGGAGATACCTCTCTTATACACTATATGTACCCATAAGTATTGTGCCTAGCTCTGCTTATATTAAATGGAAAGATGGCTGTAAATGCTATCATATCAGATAACTTTCAAACCTATCTCTAGTTCTCACATGTGTGTACTCCATTATAGCCATATTTAAATATAGTCACACTTATGCCTGCAACGCAAATACACAGGATACAGGTACAACTTGGGAGAGACAGCAGACCTGTGTGGGCTTATATCCATTATATCCAAGGAAGTTTTGATACAAAATATGTCAGTTGTACAGTTGGAGAAGTGCTCTCTGACCTCTTTGTCACATGAGACTGACACATTCCAAGTTTTACAGGCTTGTCAGATCTTTTCCTGTTCTTTTTCTAAAAAATAGTGAAACGAAACGGTAAAAGTAGGCAGATCCCCACAGTTACCTTCCTCATCCCCCCGCCTGTTTTTCAGGTCCTTCACAGCCAGCTTCCCAAATCAATTTAAAACATGTTACTTACACTTGCTGCAGAAATAAAGGGAAACGACTCCTTTTTTCACCCTTCTGGGAACAGTGCTGACTTTCCAGCCCTCAGCTTACMCACATAAGCTCTGGGGACTAAAAACCTCGCACTAAATGAGGCACCCTGGGCACATCCATTGAACTGGGCAGAGAAAGGCAGAGAGAAGCAAAAGAAGCTGACAAAGAATGACACCTAATGCTAGGAGAGACTGAGTACCTTCAGTTTTTACAGCCCGGTTAAGGGTCCAGGACACTCAGCATTATACGGGATAGGGCTGATAATATTAGTCAAACAGCTCTCCATAGGTTTCTAACCCCTGTGGCCTCACCTCATAGAAGAGTCCATCTGGGAACTGACGAAAACACTGAGCACAGACAAAGCAGTTTTCGTGGTAGAGCTCCCCATTGCTGTTGACAATCCTCTCAGCGGGGTCAAAGCGAGCCTGGCAGCGTTCACACACCGCGTTGGCAAGAGCATCAGACATATTACTGGAACAAAGACAGGAGAAAGGACCGTGAGCAATGATACAGCCAGTCACATGAAGACACTCATATCACCCAAACTGCCCCAACCTCAATGAATATATTTCTATTGCTTTTAACTTACTTTTAGATGRAAAAAAAAAAGAAGAGCAGATGAGTCATCTTGACACTTACACCAGCTAGGAGCAATGTCCTTGCAGCTCACAGCGGGGAGGCAGCGCCCCTGCAGCAGCATGAACTCACRGGGCAGAGCTGCCCCGAGCACATTCTTGGCCGCTTCACGAGGGAACACCATTATGCCACAGCACGTATCAAATAGCCATTACCTGAGCTAAACACGGAGCTCTAGGCGCAGCACATCCCGTGAATCCTGACCTCCGGGGACTCTAGCCTCAGGATGTGCTCTGCTGAGCCTCTCCTGTGGGTTTTCCATACCCGGCGAGGTGAAGCAAGYACTAATGCTACACCGACAGAATGAACGAGGCCTTTCCCCTCTGCCCATCAGCTGCGAGCACAAGGCTCTTTGGGACACCCAGCGACTGCCCTCCTCACGACGCAGCYGAGACCAGCAGCACGTTAGGAACGCAATGGAGGGCAGGAGGTCTCCGTGGCTGCCTGGCAAACGCGTCGGCTTCGCTCCCTCGGAAGGCGAGGCTACGAGAAGCCCGGAGCCAAACCTGCAAAGGGCCCTTTGCCCTTCCCCTCCCGAGGTGGGAACCGCCGTCGCCCTTCTCACAAAACCCTCACACCGGCTGCCGCGGCAGTCGGAGCGCTGCATACAGTAGCGCAATGCAGCCTTAAAATCCTGGATCACACAGAGGCAAAGAATCATTACGGCTGGAAAAGACCTTCAAGATGCAGAGGAAAATACAAGCTAAGGAAAGAGTCTCTGTTTCCTGGTGGTAGCAGATCTTTTTTCTAATCTCCGAAACATCCAATAATATAAAAATTTAATTTTGTTCCACTTTTTGGCCTTAGAAAGACTATGATGGCATAGATATGGCATCTTATGCCTGGCAGATGGCATCTGATGGCATCTTATGCCATCAGAGCTACCTCTAAATTCTGTACTGYGGGAAAGATGGCAGCTTTAAAAATGTCCAGTTCATCAAAGTCACTGGATTATTTGTACAACGTTTTTCCTGACCTACATAAAACATATAGAAAATAAAAGAAGGCTTGGCTTAAAATAGTTCTTTCTTCTTTATACACAAAAACCTATTTAAACTGTTTCTTTGTGCACAATTTCAAAAAGAAATCAGAGCCATTACTGTTTAGTGTCAAATAGTARAAACCTCTGATTGTAGTAAAGCACTGAATGCTGTCAGTGTTATTCTACAACATAACATCCTATTTCCTACATGATAATAATCCACTAAACACATCCCAGCAGCAGAAGCTGCTCTGCCCTTCGGCCAGAGAGGCTCTTCCAAGTACAGGGCAGCGTCTGTGCTCAGGGCAGGGCAGTGGCCCCGGGCACGGACAAACCCGGGCCTGGGCACAGGGACCCCGCTCAGCGGGACGCGCCGCCCCTGCAGCCTGCACCGAGATCCCGTGCCCGGGTCCTGCACCCGGGTCCTGCACGGAGATCCCGCGCCCGGGTCCTGCACCCGGGTCCTGCACGGAGATCCCGCGCCCGGGTCCTGCACCCGGGTCCTGCACGGAGATCCCGCGCCCGGGTCCTGCACCGAGATCCCGCGCCCGGGTCCTGCACCCGGGTCCCGCACCGAGATCCCGCGCCCGGGTCCTGCACCCGGGTCCCGCACCGAGATCCCGCACCCGGGTCCCGCGCCCGGGTCCCGCGCCCGGGTCCCGCGCCCGGGTCCTGCACCGAGATCCCGCACCCGGGTCCTGCACCGAGATCCCGCACCCGGGTCCTGCACTCGGGTCCCGCACCGAGATCCTGCACCCGGGTCTCGCACCCAGATCCTGCACCGAGATCCCGCGCCCGGGTCCCGCACCGAGAGCCCGCACCCAGGTCCCGCACCGAGAGCCCGCACCCAGGTCCCGCACCGAGAGCCCGCACCCAGGTCCCGCACCGAGAGCCCGCACCGAGAGCCCGCACCCAGGTCCCGCACCGAGATCCCGCGCCCGGGTCCCGCACCGAGAAACAGCTCTTCCTTCCTTCCACCACGGCAGCCCCAAGGGTGACAAGAAGATGTGGGTTGGGAAAGGGGGAGGCAAAACAGGTTCTGAGGCCAAGAGCAGAGCACTGGTTTAGTAATTTAGCGTTATAACGTGTTACCTCCCTGCAATAGAAAGGAACTTTAAATCTGGACACGAACCGGAGCTACGGACAAACAGGAAATCACGTAACGCCATAAGCTACGGACCACAGGTTAAAGACAGTTCTGTCCTGCCATGCAGCAAGGGAATAGGTCAACACAGAAGTATCTGTGCTAGCAGCCAAGCCCAAAGGGTTTCCCTTTCATCTACTCTGCTTCATTTTCAACCACTGATTGCAGTTAAATCATGCACCAAATGTGCACCAGAACTTGAAAATATAATCTCTCCAAAAAAAGTATGTTCCCACTAGGAAAAAATTGATTCCTAAATTCAAAGGCTTGAACTAACTGAYGGGGCATGACTTCAAACACCTATTGCTAGCATCAGTGAAGAAGCTATATTCTAATAGAAAACTAGAATTGTGCTAACGTTCTGCGTTCGCACTGTCGTCTGCTAGCAGGAAAAACAACTCTGGGCTTAATCTAAAGTTCACTCACGTCACTCCCCTATTAGGGCAGGAGTTCACTGACCRTTACATATGCACGTGCAAGGCACGTACGTAACAACCTTTGCAAGGACACACAAGATCCAGGATACAGGACAGATGATTGTGACAGAGACCGAGCTGCCCAAGAGCTGCCACACTGCAAGTGAGCTCCTCACGGTGACCGGTTGGTCACTGTGTTGGGGACGGTTGTAAAGGACACAACAAATCACACAGGTGCCCTGATCTAGTGCTCCCTRTAACATGAGCCAGCTGCAGTGGATCTTTGGTAACCACAGCCTGAGTTTTGCTCCCCATTGCCTTTTCATTCATGACTTTGCACCCATTTTTACYTGGAACATTTTACTCTTTTTGTACTCAAACTAAATTTGACACCTCAGCATCGCTCTAAAGGCAAGATGTCCAGTCTCTTCCGAGTTTTCCTTTTATATCTGCTRTGGTTACACAACCTCCCTAAGCTACACACCCACGGTAGTAGTTCACTACACACAGTGAGCACCAAGGACCGGCGCACTGTGCCAGCCACAGGACCTGCAGCTACCAGTGCTCCCAACAAGCACTGCCCCAAACAGAGACAGCTGCTCGCATTCTCATCACGATGTCTCTGCATGCAGGGCAGCAAAATGCAGAATATTCCTCTGTTTTCACAACAAGCTGATGACACAAAGGCAGGAAAGGCTGTTAAATGCAGCTAGCAAAACATCCTGAAGCTCTCCAGGCCAGTGCAAGCCCAACAAAACACCAGTGCTTGAACAACACGTTTTCCAGTCTCTCTCCATTATATGTCATAGCTTTATCTAATGCTCTTTCTTAAAATATCACATGTACATAACTAGGTTATTTACCATTATAATTAGCAGTGGGATCCTCACACTTTGACTTAGCAGAACAATGTATCATAAATTATCAGCACTTAATCTAAAGAAAACACAACACTTCAATGAAGTAGGAGTGAATTAGAGAGTCATTTTGTGCCACTGGTACAGTTGTTGTAGAAATCTTTGAAAGCACTGAACCTTGTATCACTAAAGTCAATATGGATTTGCCTTGTATAAATAGCAGTTTCAGATATATTCAGTCTATTAAGCTTCATATACCTATATTGTCCACCAACAGAAACTATTGTTTAGATAAAATGACACAATATGATAAGATTTACACAGTAAATAGTATATTAGTAGTATAGTAGTATACGTGTAGTATATTAGTATATGTGGACACACATACATGCAGAATAGTGAAAAGCCAATAACCTGGAAGGCTCCCAGGGCTCGTGTTTATCTTGAGAAAAATCAGAGCACTCCTGGAGAGGGGCTCCCACCTGCCCTGTGGTACCACTAAGGGTGCATGGCTACAAGCCCCTAAAACTCACAAAGATTTAAAAAATCTTTTGGGGACAAGACTGGACTATGATTCACTTTTACAGATAATGATCAAGAACACAGAAAAAAAAAAAAAGGAAAAAGAAAAAAAGAGAGAGGGAGAGGAAATGCATCAGCTCATGAATCTCGATGAAAGATCATCTGCCAATCACCTCTACCATTTTCTCAACATTTCTGCATTTGATTTTTTTTTCCTCCTGCAAAGATTTCTCTAGGTAGTTTGACTTTGTTTTAGGGGCTGTTAAACATTCTGCAGAGTGTTCACTCACCCTGGGGAACCAACACAAGCACGTTCCAAATGGATCACCTATCTGACACCAAAATCACCATTCGATTCTCAAGCAGGTACCAATTCGATGTCTATTTCTAACAGATAAAGGCTTCTTTCACTCCATTATCAAAGAGGAGCTAAAAATGTCTGTGTTGGGATATTGATAATACCTCAGCTTTTGGATTACAGTCATTTGCCTGAAGAATGGCCCTAAAGTATCAGGACTAAAGACAAGTGCAGGGTCCTGCACCTGGGCAGGAATAACCCCAGGCACCAGGACAGATTAGGGGTC